TCTTGGTTCTGCTTTCAGGCTGTAAAAAACATTAGCCACAACTTTATCCGTTAACAGGTCATTTCAGGAAGAGGGTCCCTTTGCTGACAGCCTGATTCAATGATGAAGAATCCTGCAGAGAAAGTTGTTATTCCAGCATCGGCTATGACTGTCGACACTGCAAAGCGACAACAGGAAGACGATAAAGTAAAACGTGTCAATATCAATGAAGTGTTTCAGAGACGGAGAGAAAATGTTGCTAATGGTTTAGCCTTCTGCTAACTGGAGTCAAACGCTTACAGCTGCGGCTTCAAGTTCACGTTGTAGTTAGAGCCTCGAGTCACAGTGTGTCCTTAGCCTCACTCCCCGCAATTACAGACCACCTCGTTGGGAGAAGAGCTGGCAGGAGCTCTGGAGCATAGACTGTATATAAAGATGGACGCCATGACAGGTCCTCAAAAGTGAGGCCGAAACATCTCAATGGCCCCCTGGTGGCTGGCTGCAGTACAGATCATAAAGCTCACCCTCTCCGTGTTAGTGAATGGGACATGGGCCAAACTAAAAACTCAAAGTACAGATCAAATAAATTTTCCCCAAAGGTGGTTTCTGTCATTTAAGGTAATTTTATCACGCTGCTGTTTGTTCAAGTGTTAATTAGTTATTTAATGCTTGACTCTGGCTACGAATGACGCCACCAGAGCAAGACGGCAGCAGCTGTATCCAGGATATTTTAGCTTCACGTTTGTACAGTGGGGGTAGGGCGAGATGTGTTATCCATCTTTAGATACAGTCTGTGCTCCGGAGACTGACCCCCAGTCTGCATCTGCAGCAACTTGAGCTCCAGCCAGCGCAAAACTTCAGCTCTGTGCAACCCAGCAGCCACAACACAGATCAGCAAACTTTCTGTTGCTGCCATTACGCAGGTTAGACCCGGCGCTGCTGCTTGCCACCAGCCTGCTGTGACACCCGGCACTGTGGGGTTTGTGCTGGCTGAATTGGAACTGCTGCAGCTGCTGACTGAAGGTCCTTCTCTGGAGGTGCTGCCCACTCTCCTCGCAGTGAAGCAGTCTAAAGCGGCGGGGAGAAAGGCGGAGGGACCGTGGAGTGGCTAGCAGCTAATTCTTATCTCATTTGTGGTCTGATAAATAGAGAGCAGGGCAGGGAGGGGCTGAGTGAATGTGCTATGTGCAACTATTCAGGGAAATCAGAAAATCAATCACTGCACAGGAAAGTTACTGTGTTACTGTGTGACGCACGTGCCTTCGCCCTCTTCTTCTGGTGTATGTCCTTAGACCTTCAGCTCCGTTGAGGCAAGCCTGACCAGTGTTCCATCATACAGGTCAGTTAGACAGTGATTGCCATTCGGTTGCCCGTGTTATTATGTGTTCCACAGTTTGTAGTGGATCCCCACATTCACAGTGGGCACTGTCCACGAGACCCAAAGTGTCCTACGCCTGTCCTCAGGTGACTGAGGGTTGTCCATTGCTTTCGGGGCAGGCGCTGTTGGGAAACATCTGTAGGGTCTTCAGTGTAGTGGTGGAGCCTTGATGGTTCTGCTGACTTCCACTGGTCCCTCCATCTTGCCTCGACCCAGGCAGCCCTGGAGGTATCAGATGGGACTTGAGACGCGAGCGCTGTGGTGTCTCAGTAGCGATCCTGCAGAGGAGGTGGGATTCACTCGTCTGTGCCTTTCGAGCGAGGGCCAGCGTGGCTCCTTTTCATCTGACCTCTGCTGGAGCGATACCAGCGAGGACAGGCAGGATGCTGTACTTTTGTACTTCTACTTGAAGTTTTAAAGGACTTGAACTTGTAACTAAAATAAAGATCTGAGTACTTTCACCACTGAATGTCAGTCACATAAAGAGGAATCTGATTCTGTGGAGGAAGCTGCAGCAAACACTCAGCAAACACTCGTCACTTTACAGCTGTGTGTGCATGTCATCTTCCTCTGAGCTGTACTTTGTTTCAAATCAGCTGCCATGTAGAATTACAATAGAGCACAGTGAAGCGGTGCAGAATCATGAGTATGAATACTGTGAATCTGAAGGATTTTAAACTCAGTTAGGAGATCAGTTGGCTTACTGTTGATGCTTTTAACCTGCTGTAAAGAAACAGTTCCTGCTGTTAATGGAGAAGCAGAGATATCACTCTGCTGATTCACTGTCTTTAGGTCAAGACATTTAACTCTGTAATCTGCAGTGTTTCATGTGTCTGCTGTTACATTCATACGTCTCCTGACTGTGTATACTCACTAGTTAAAAGAAATTTCTCCTCTGTGGTAAAATGATGTTAAGTGCACCTGACTGTGCGCCATCTACTGGTCTGATGGTGTAGTGACAGTGAAGAGACTCTACACTCCCTGCTGGCGAAGGAGCAGGTACAGTTTAAGTTCTCAGACATGAACTTTAACGTCATTTTCAAAGGTAAACATGACTGGTTATTAGATTATAACGGCATTAAAGGGCCAGTTCACCCAAATTACAATAAAAGTATTTTCTACACATTATGCCAGACCCAGAAGAGGATTGATCAACTACCCATATCATCTTCCTTTCTGACTCTTCCCCCCTTGTTTTATTTTATTTTATTTTATTCTATTTATTTATTACTTATTTTATTTATTTATTTTTGGTGTGTTTGTTTACTCTCTTGTCTCTATGTGCCTCATGACCTGAGATGGGTGAAGGATGTTTAAAAATTGCCTGTTTCACTTAACACTGTACACTAATGACTGTTGAAAAGCTTTGAAATTCAATAAAGAGTTAAAAAAATAAATAAATAAAAATAAAAGTATTTTCTGTTAAGCCCCTAATCTTGTCCACTCAGGTATGGAGTGCCATTTAAATCAATATTAAATAAATAAATAAATATGCCTATGCAAGAAATGAATATGAAATAAATCCTGACATAAATATGGAAATATTCACTAAAATTCCCCTAAAAATTAAAAACATTCTGTATAAGAAAGCCATTTAAGTCAGCATAAAAAAATAAAATAAAAAAATATGCCCTTTAGAAAATAAATATGGCCACAAAATAAATCCTAAAATAAATATGAAAAAAAAATCTTTTCCCCTGAAAAACATCCTTTTTAAAAAATAAAAACCTATTTATTTATTGAATTATACTGACTTAATGATGAATTTATATTAACATTTATTTGTGTATTTATTTCAAAGCCATATTTATTTATTTGTTTTATTATTGACTTAAATGGAATTCCATAGTTATGCAGGCAGTTTTAATTTTGAAATAAAAGTCCCCTGAAATAAAAAAAAGGAGCCTTTTTGAGTGCCATTTAAGTTAATATTAAATAAATAAATATGCCTTTGAAATTGTGGCCACTAAATAATCCTAAATTAAGTGTGAAATAAAATAAAAATCCACTAAACTTAAAACATGTAGTTCCCTGAAAACCATCCTGTTTTAAAAATAAAATCCAATTTATTTATTGAACTATACTGACTTCTTGACATTATATTCAGATCTATTCATGTATTTATTTCCTTATTTAATTATTTTAGCATGCCATATTAATTTATTGATCTATTTATTCATCTAATATTGACTTGAAGGGCATTCCATAGATACACAGGCAGTTTTGATTCTATGAGACTTCTGCTCCAATATGATGGAGGTGAATACAATTTTGTTGTGCTTGTATTGAAAAACACCAATGTTTCTTTTCAGAATAAGTGCATATTACTAGGTACTTTTTGACAGAGAAATAATCCCAGTAAAACATTTCACAGTGAGAACTGATAATCCAGAGCTACATCATTGTTTCTATTTAAGAGACTTTACTCTTATTCATCCATCAAATCTCTGTTTGTCCTTCAAGTGTCTCAGGAACCGTTTGTCCGTTTTACTAAACACTTGGCAGGTGTATCGCTGGGGACCAAGAGAAGCGCAGTCTCGAGTGTGAGGTTGTGTGTATGAGCAGTTCTCGAGAAAGCAACCCCACAGGCCAGACAATCAGAATCAAGTGAAACCAGTGTAGAGTTATTAAAAAACATAATTTAAATAATTAAATAATGAGACGTGGGAACTTTACAATGTACAAGTTTATTTTTAATGAACTCTTCAGTGGTTGGTAGTCACAGCACAGCTTGCATGTATTAAGCCACACACCTATTTTACAAGATGACGGGAAAAAAATAATAATAAAGAAAAACAAACAAACAAAAAAAAAAAAGTCTAAACCAGAGTAGATGGTCATCGGCCCATCTGCAGCGACTTTTTTTTTCCTTTTTAATTTTTTAAACTTTTACTAAAATATCTTAAAAGGCCACTGAAATGCATAAAATGTTTTTTTTTTTCAGATGCATGGAATATTTGATGGTGGCGATTTGCTTTAACCTGACATCAAGACTCCTCACATGGCATTGACAGTGCATGTAGACATTTGTAAAAAGGACTGGGTTAGCGATACCTAAGATAGTTCTCTTTTTTTATTTTTAGTGACAACACCTTGGCTATAATACTACAGCTTTAAAAAAAAAAATAAAAAAAAAATTGGAAACAAAATTAACAGCACTCTTCCAAGATACTGAATACAATGAAAGTGAAATGTAGTGAAGCGATTATTTCTCTTTTTTTTCTGTTTTTAAATCTCACAATTATGTGAACACTTATTTTAAACTGGAGAAAAATTAAAGCACTGAACACTGCCAGTCGTCCCCGTGTAACGAGAGAGCGGCTCTACTTTATGTATCCAATGTCTATAAAAGAAATAATAATTAAAACACACCTTTTTGTCCTCTGGAATTTTGTATACTTTTTAATAGTAACAGACGGGAACCATAAACGCATGCCATGTGCTGGTCTCAAACAAATACATACAGGTATATACAGCGTCACTCAGTACCTGCTAAAACAAAGTGAGAAATACAGAGTATAAACTGACTACACTACAAACTTAAAACAAAAAAAAAAAAAAAAAAAAAAAAAAAAGGGGGGAAGGGAGAGAAAGGAAGAGGGGGAAAGAGAAAAAACCCACCTTGTAAGGGCCCACACATAAAACAATAAAAAAAAAAAAGAAATGCATATTGCACATACAGTGAAAGCTTAAATTCCACCAGGTCCGCCTCTTTTTTCCGCTAAAGCGAGAATTTAAAAAAAAAAAAAAAAAATCCCTCTTGGAGGAAGACACACAGAGGTAACAAAAAAATGAGGGGGCGCGAGTGTGTGTGCGTCAGTGACTGTGTGTGTGTGAGGGAGGAGATAAGGAGCGATACGGGGCAGAAGTGGCACTTTAAGGGGTTTTTAAAAAGGGGAAACTGCACAGCACACAACACGAACACAAGGAGAGGAAAAGATTGTGGCACAAATAAAATCAGGTGTCGGATAATATCTGTTCTTCAGTGATAGCCGAGAGAGAAGAGAGAGAAGAGATCGCTGCGAGTGTTTTTTCTTTTTTTCCTCTTTTATGTACAACTAAGGCTTATTGGTTAAATAGTTTTCAGGCTTCCCCGCCCGGTTACATGCTGATCACACGTCTCCTGTTTGTAAACTCAGTGGTTCTATCAGGACAGCAGCCACACGATCGAGTGGGTAATAGTCGAGGAGGAGGAGGTGGATGGATGGATGGATGCCGCAGTGGTGGTGGTGGAGCAAAAAAAGGGGGAGATAAAGAGCTGGGAGGAGGAAAAGAAAGAAAAAAAAACGGAGTCTTGTCTCTGATGTCTGTTGCAATTAATATCTAAATGTGCAATTCCATTAGTCACTGCCATGGGGGACTAGAGGGGGTGCAGAAGATGGGGCGGGGCAGAGGGGGTCTGTTCTACTTGGAAAGCTTGCTAATGACTCGAATGAGCGCTCCGTTCTCGTCCTTTAGTCTCTGGTTGTCTGCTTTCAAGTCTGGGAGCATCTGAAAGGGAAGAAAAAGGAAAAGAGGGAGGGGGAGGAGGAGACACAGAGAGACAGAGAGAGAGAGAGAGAGAGAGAGAGAGAGAAGGCTTAGACAAGTCTCAACAGACACAAAGCGTCGTCAAACCAGTCAGGCCGGTTTTTACAAACTGTTAATTGCAGCCTGTGTAAAGCAATCTCCGAGTCACACAGCATCGCTCATGTTTTGTTTTCTCCTTTATTTAAGAGAAAAAAGAAAATTAAATCTTTGTCCCAAGTCAAAGAAACAGAGAGGAGTATAAAGCGGGCACACCACAGGCCAAAGATCCTGAGAAAGCCATGCAGAGTCTGAGCGGCTGCTCAACGGCAGCCACAAAAATACACAGCAGAGACACAAAGTCACTTTTAATCTGATCTAGTGCATCGAAAGTTTGACATGTGGATCGCTGTATCGTCTCCAACAGAGCCCGGCAGGTGTCAGGAACAACTCTTCTTTTAATTCTTGCAAGTTGTAACTGTGCGGCCAAGCAAAAAGCATCTTGGTGCTCCCATGTTATCTGCAGATATTTAAAGATAATATGCAACTTTCCTGCATCTAAGTGTTTAAAATTGACTGGACCGATGTTATATATGTTTTTGAGTTGTGCACTTACATCATCCTAAATGTTTCCAACAATGTTCAAACCCATAGAAATCTGTGTCATCTGATCACTGTTCATGTCGTCATATCCCCTTTACCTATGCATCAAGGTTGTGGTTGTCTGCCAGAAGCTGTCATAAACTGACTTTTATCCAGCTTTCAGCCACACTATTACAATATAATTTTACAGATATTGGTTGTTTTTAACTGTGTGATTTGACTGGATGAGGGATTTTAGTCACTGGATGTCTGGATCTTAAGTTAGCAGAGAAACAAGCTGCGCAAACGTCAGCAGCAACTCGTCTCCAGCCCCTGCCGTGCCGAACAGCATCGGAGAAACACTGTTTTTTTACGTTTATTCGATCAGTGTTCTTACTAGTTTTAATCACCTGATCTGTTTGTTTTGGAGAGGAAGAGACCTCTGCGTAAATTCAGCTCCTGAACGATGAACACTGACGGAATTCTAACCAGGAGGAACTGCCTGCAGTAACGACACTGCTCCGTCTTCTGTTACTGTGTCGGTTGAGAAACCCTTAGTGGCAGAATTTTACATACAGTATGTTTAAATTAAGTAAGGCCAGTTCACAAAGATCAGCACTAACTGCCACACTCCATCAGAGCTGGTGCTGACTGAAGCATATTAATAAAACATGTGCCTCTGTACATCGTCTGTCAGGACCTGGAACTCGCTTCTTTGTTTTTTCTCTTTGTCATTGTTCTGATTACTGTTTTTTATTATACTCTGCCACATGATTGCACTCAGATGCAACAAAAGGCAAACTGCACACAGCTGCAAAATTTATGTGAGTGTTCTCAGTGCAATATCCTTTGTGAGTCAGACTTCACGACGGGGCAGATATGGGTTGCAAATGGAGCTATCAGCGGCCACAATGTGACTGTGTTAACTGTAAGCTAGCAGCTGTTTTTGGTACCGAGTTGCCAACAAATACTGAGTTATTTCACTCATATAAATATAATTGCTATCACTTTATTTCAGTTTCCTTCCTTCCTTCGAGCTCTACTGCAGTGGTTCCCAACTGGTCCAGCCAGGGGGTCCAGAATGCTCCTTAGTCATTAGTTCACAAGGTCTACACGGTTGAATGTATTCAGCGTGTTTGGCCATGTTGACGAGCTAGTTTGCTGTCTCTGTCAAGTACCTGTCTGTTAAGCCTGATTTATGGTCCTGCGTTGAATCAACGACGTCGCTACGTCGTAGGGTACGGGGCTACGCAGAAGGCTCGCCGTAGCCCCCGGCGTAGCCTGACGTGCACCTCCCCAAAAATGTAACTACACGTCGAGGCTATGCAGACCTAGCTCAGACTGTTTGGGTTGTGATTGGTTTGCTTGGTAGCAACGCATTTCCGGTTCCGTATTTCCAGATTGCGCCATCCCCGCCATCTTTAAACATCTTCTGTTGCAATGTAGATGTTGCAGTATTAAGGCTCATTATATATATGCCATTATGCTCAACGTTCAATACGGATACGGATACGGCCGGAGCCGTCTGTCCATGATCCACGTTCATTTCTCTGTGACCTGAAAAGCCGGAAGCTAAACAAAGAATCAACTAGAGACGACTACAACCACTCAGGAAAGGAACGCAGCCTCCTACCGCTCTGGCGGTGAATTGCACCGCGATGAAAAGGAGTGACGGAGAAGTTCGAAGGGTTCACGACGGTGTCACGGCAACAACGTAGCGACGTCGTTGAGTCAACGCAGGACCATAAATCAGGCTTTATTCACTCACTCTACAGCAGGGATTCTTAACCATGGGCCACGGCCCAAGTGTGGGCCGCGAGCGCCACCTAGAGGGCCGCGAAACAAATTCATTTTTGCACCTGTGGGCCGCATACTGTTAAGTTGACACTCTCCGTTACAATACAACCTCCCACCACTTGGTGGTGGTAATGCGTCAGTCAGTTGTTTAACAGTTAAACAACTGTTGTCAGTTGTTTAACAGTTAAACAACTGACTGACGAATTACCACCACCAAGTGGTGGGAGGTTGTATTGTAACTGAGTATTGTAACTAGTTTATCTATTTTTTTATTTATTTTTAAACTTGGTGATTATAAGCTTTAGTTTCATTTGCACTTTATTTCTATTTTATTTAATGTTATTTATTTATTTAATTTGAAACTTTTATTATTTTAATGTATTTATCACCACATAATATTATTTGTCAAATTTCTAATTTTTCTTTTTTTTTTTGAGAGGCCATCCTTTCTGCTGTAACTTGAGCCTTTAAAATTGTTGTCAAATATGTTCTTGTAGCACATTTGTCCCATGAACTGTTAGCCTGTTCGGCATCTTGACGGAGGTGTAGATTTACATCAACATGATAAATAAATGTTTCTGTGATGATCACATTGTATCATGTAATTTATTTGATACGTTTTTAGCTTATTGATTGGAAGTTGATCTAGTTATTGAATACAAATCAAACCAAGAGTAAAATCAATTAAACATGTTAATATCTGAATGGGCCCCGGGCCACATTGTACTAGAAAAGTTGGACTGCAAGGTCAAAAAGATTAAGAACCCCTGCTCTACAGCACTCTAAAACAAATACTCTGTGCCAGAAATTCACTGTAAATAAAAATATGACGTTATGACGCTACTTTGAATGTTGTTTTGGCAATACTGCTCTGCTTTGGATGCTACTAATTAGTTATGCTGTACACCACTGTGTCGCCTAACTCAAAACAGAAAGTGAAATTTACAAGATAATCTCAACGAGCCACTTTAACTGAGCGCATTGTTCTGTACACCTTGGATAAAGAAATGTGTCTATGCTTCAGATTTAGCTTGTTCAACAACAGATGTCGGGATGAGACTGATCCCCAGGAGGAAAAAAAAAAAGCCTGTTAAAATGTCAGTGAGATTGTTCAGCATTATATTCTGTTAATTTGTGCACATTTATCAGTAATTTTAGAGTCTGACTCAAATTACTGAAGAGCAGAATGTATGTGTTTCCCCTCATGACACCTGCCAGGCTCCGTAGTATCTAAGGTGAAGCTCCATCACGTCTGATTGGCAGACAACACCCTAATTCTGGAGGGTTAGACTGAGTCGTAACGGATGAATTCTTGTATCGACTTTATCTCAATCTTGGCATGATTTTGAGACGCTGGACTGATGATGATACCGAACAAAACTCAGTACACTTAAGTATCACCAACAAAAACAACAAAATTCTGCTATTTGGGTGACAGTATGTCTTTAATTCTGTGAGATGCTTACATATATAACCGTGTAACTTAGTGTTTGACTGTTTAAAAAATGTACAGACACTGTGGTGGTGAACGTTAAAGGGATAGTTCGGATTTTTTGAAACAGGGTTGTGCGAGGTACTTATCGACACTCAGTGTGTTACCTACATGTACAGTAGATGGCAGCCCACTGAAAACAATTCACACCTGCCCTGTTTGGTTCGGTTCAATCAAACTCAAGTTCGTTTGCCCCCTCAGTGCGGTTCGCTTGGGCAGGTGTGAACACAGCAATCACACTCAGGTGTGCACCAAAACAACCCGACCGAGACCGTCTTGAAGAGGTGGTGCGCTGACTGACATCTACTATAGCTAACACACTGCCTCTAGCTGACACAACCTCGCTTCAAAAAATCCAAACTAACCTTTTAAGTAGGGTGACGCATGTTCTACGTCACTGACACTCCAACAACAGATTCCAGTCCCCTTAAAAACAGACTCATGTACTGATCACAGATGACCATCAACTGCTAGCTCACATGTTCATTCATGTTCTGACATGAGTTTATACTTGATACTGATCAGGCACAATGCTGAGCCTGTGTCCATGCTTGTTGATGTCATCTGTCAAAATTAAACATTTGGGGGAGAAAACGAGGGGAGGGGGAAAGGAAAGGTTCCAATCTCTGAAAATTTGGTTGATGCCAAAAAAGGAAGCCACTTCATGCAAGGAAGCCAGAACAAGCCAAACTGAACAACTGAGCTCCCTGTGATGGAAGCGTCACAACTAGGAACTACAAAGAGGACACTTTCCTTTACAGTGATTCATGTGTTCGTTCGGAATTAAGCTTTGGAGTAAATTTAGACACCTGCCAGCCTTTAATGACACCTACCTGAGCCTTTCTCCACCTACTGTAGATATATTCGTTAGTTTGACATATGTAGGATATGTTTACGAGCTGACAGTTGTGGAAATCACCTGCCAGCTGCCGACTGTAAAAGGAGAGTGTCCTGTTGTGAAAATAAAAAAAAAAAAAAAAGACACCCTCCCCAATCTGAAAACCAAAAGCTCTGGGGAGGCAGAGGGGGGCGGAAAGGGGAGGTTACAAAACCAGTGGTGGTTGGGCGGCTGGGCACCTGCCTGTCTATGGGTGCGGGCAGAGCACGAATGGAGCATGAGAAGAATGGGGTTGGGAAGAGGAGGAGGGGGGGAGGGGGAAGGTGAGGAAGAAGAAGGACAGGAAAAAAGGAGGAGATGGTGGTGGACAGATGGACGTGGCTTAGAGGTCGACGGTGGGCAGCTGGCTGCAGGCGGACTGCGAGAGCTTTGCCAACACGCGGGACAGGGCCCGGTTCTCAGCCTGCAGCCGCTCCTTAACCTGCCGCAGGGCCTGAACCTGTTTTACCTGGGGGAGGTTCTGCAGGGGGGGAAAACAACAACCACAACACAGGAAAACAAAGAGAAAGGAGGGGAGGAGGAAGGAGAGAATGGCAGGAGAGGAAAAGGTTTGTAGAAACAGGTGAGGAGAGAAAGGTTTAATGAAAGACAGGACAATATAAATTAATAGAGAAGAGGGGCCGAGAGGAGAAGAGGGAGAACAGAAAAAGGAAGATTGTTAGAAAATGGGGACAGATTTTGGAAACCGAAGGAATGATTAAGAGCTTTTCCGCTTCAGCGTGATGCTTGTAGATAGAATGGAAAAGTGACACTGATAAGATCAGCCAGCTGCCTAAAAATAAACACACTTGGTTATCACAGCGATGGGAACAACACTTGCTTACTAGGATTTAATGGACTTTTTTCCCCTCTCTCTCTCTGTCGTCTAACATCAGTTCCAAGAAAAGGGACATTTAATTGGCCGTCTCAGTGGAGGAGCTTAACCAAGATGTCAACATAGATGACAGCAGCTGACCTGAGATGTGCCTGAGCTGAGTAACAGATGCACGTTTAGCAGGAGGAGTCGAACATGTGGACACAGGTGAGATACGAGATACCGTATTGAACAGGAATCACATTTACAGGAGTGGAGGTTGTAAATTTACGTATTCACAACATTAGATATTCATTTTTAAGACTCATCAGGAGCTGTTTTTAGCCTTTCTTGTGTGTGATTTATCCTGGCTTCATAAGTGCAGAGGAAAAGTCCACAAGCTGCTAGGCTAATTTACACAATGTAAAATGCCATAGGCTTGTGCTAATAACGTTAGCATGCTATATTTGTTTGGAAAACTTGTTTATAGACAGTTGTTTTGTCGGTTGTTAAATGTTGCTGTTGTCCCTGGCTTCATACGAGTAGAGGAAAAGTCCACTAGCAGCTAGGCTAATTTATACAATGTAAAATGCCATAGGCTTGTGCTAATAACGTTAGCATGTTGTATCACTTTTCTTGTGCTGCTTTCAGACACTTTTCACGAGTATTCAAACCTTTGAACCCTGAGAAAATTGGTGCAATTTCTTTCAGAAATCAGGGGAAAAAGGCAATGAGCAACTTGGTAAGAAATGTCCCACAGATTGCAAAAAGTTAAAACATTTAGGAAATTATTTTTCAAAACCTATGGAAAAGAAAAAGACAGCGGAAAACTAGATTTATAATTATTATTATTACATATTTCAAATTATGTTGCATAATTATTATTTTAATTTTTAAGCTCTTTTTCCAGGTTGTTTTCTGGTTTGTTTGTTTTTAACTTTCTTTCATTTTCGAGGCAATAAAAACCAAAAAGGAAAAGTTTGTACGCAAATACAATTTCTCTTTGAGGATTATACTGATGCCGAATTGACAAGAAAACAACATGAGACTGTATTTATTTTTAGACGTGCGACAATTTCAAAGGCAAAGGTNATGTTTATAGACAGTTGTTTTGTCGGTTGTTAAATGTTGCTGTTGTCCCTGGCTTCATACGAGTAGAGGAAAAGTCCACTAGCAGCTAGGCTAATTTATACAATGTAAAATGCCATAGGCTTGTGCTAATAACGTTAGCATGTTGTATCACTTTTCTTGTGCTGCTTTCAGACACTTTTCACGAGTATTCAAACCTTTGAACCCTGAGAAAATTGGTGCAATTTCTTTCAGAAATCAGGGGAAAAAGGCAATGAGCAACTTGGTAAGAAATGTCCCACAGATTGCAAAAAGTTAAAACATTTAGGAAATTATTTTTCAAAACCTATGGAAAAGAAAAAGATAGCGGAAAACTAGATTTATAATTATTATTATTACATATTTCAAATTATGTTGCATAATTATTATTTTAATTTTTAAGCTCTTTTTCCAGGTTGTTTTCTGGTTTGTTTGTTTTTAACTTTCTTTCATTTTCGAGGCAATAAAAACCAAAAAGGAAAAGTTTGTACGCAAATACATTTTCTCTTTGAGGATTATACTGATGCCGAATTGACAAGAAAACAACTTGAGACTGTATTTATTTTTAGACGTGCGACAATTTCAAAGGCAAAGGTCTTTTTTTATTTGTCAACAATACTGCATATTAATAAAGTCGTGGTTAATGTTTGTGATGTTGGTGTTGTCTCGTCATCGTCTCGTCTTTGTCATAGGACAAAGGGCGTTGCCTAACATTTTTAGTCCTAGTTTTTGTTGACAAAATTAAAGGCTCTCCATGTCTTCCGAAGCTTGAAAAGTTTTTGTCACATACAGCAAACATCTCCTCACGATCAGCTAGCTACATGTCCTCTGAATATGCAATGACAAAAATATCTGGTTACTTTCTCAACATGTATATGTCTGAACAGGGAGATCGTCTCACATTTGGGCCAAGATGATTTTTTTTTTCCTTTATCAACTACATCATATTTGTCCTTTTTTAAAAACAGACATGACAGTATTTCTAAGAAAATGTAATTTAATACAACCTGGGACCTGTTTTTTGTAATTTAGCCCATTATTCCCACTGATTATAATAACACTGCACTCCAGATGTTAATTGCTAAGATCTGAAATGTTATTAAACACCTGTCTGATCGTCACTGCTCATGTTTCCAGATTCTTGAAATATTATTTGGGTACAATGAAAGTAAAACATATCTTTTAAACATGGTGGCATTTTACATGACTCACTGCTCCTATTAAACCCCCAAAAGTGAGATTTATACATAAAGGGACACTGATAGACTGACGTGACAGCTGTTAGCACTATGCTGGAGCTCACAAGTACCACCTCCACACTCGCTGTGTTCTTGACTCCATTAATGGAAACCTTCTAAACCCCACTGTGCATGAACAGAGAGTATAATGTGTGTGTGTGAGTGTGTATGTCTGTGACTGTGTGTACCTTAAGTTCCTCCTCCATCTCAGAAATCTTCCTTTCTAGAGCTCTTCTTTCCTGCGGGGGCGGAGGAGAGCAGGTTAAACTCTGGAGTCGCACATTTAATGGAGACAATTAGCAGGAAGCACACTTTAGTGCAGGCTCTACACACTGCATAAAATATGGTGGGGAAGATGGTGAGGGTGTAGTGACAGCACACACACACACTTGAACACACGCATGTCTCGTGAGGCGTCTGCAAGCAACAGCCAGGTCTGACTTACATATTCAGTGACGTGTATGTAATTCATATGTAAGGATATCAAAGGCAGGAATGAGTCCACAGATGGGAACATGGAGATGTGTTGGATGGTACGTTAAAGAGATAGTTTGGATTTTTTTTAAGTGGGGTTGTGTGAGGTACTTTATCCATAGTCTGTGTATTACCCACAGTTGATGGCAGTCAGCAAGCCCTCAGTTTGGAGAAGCAGGCAGGAGTACTGTCACAGAAACTAAACAATGTACTGCTGTGGATGGAGGCAGCAGGACAACGTACTTTAGCCACAATAAACAAACGAAGAGCGGTTTATGTGTACGCAATGGTTTTAGCTAGTCTTATTGCTTTACATTGCAGGCACACAGCCCATTCAAACAGGGAACAGTACATTGCTTAGCTTTAGCGATGGAGAAGTACCTCATATAACCCCACTTAAAGAAATACAAACTAACCCCTAAATGAAATGACTCATGGACACAAGGGTCAGAATGTCTTTTTTGAACACAACAAAACAAAAAAGGACATTCTTGTATTATAAAACGTGAAGACAAATGGAGGATGTCTTAAACGTGGCGTAAAAATAATGGATGAATTTTATAAATCTATGGATTATGGCTTCATGGCTAAACAGCTGCAGCTGAAGACACCAGCATATTACTGCATGAGTGAAAAAACACCATGAACACACACATGCACAGGTTCGTTCAACAGCAATGTAATGATCTACAGTTGATCTACTTCCTGTATAAACTAGATAAACACACTTCCACACACACACACACACACACACACACACACACGAATAACAGAATAAGCAGTCTGGAGAAGAGGTGACCACACGCTGCCTCTGAGGTTTTAAGTCAGGTGAGAGAGAAGGTGGCAGTGTTCTGGGTGGCGATGAGGGGGAGAGGGGAAGTCCCTTTGACCCCCCCCTGACTACATGTGTGACACGACAGCCAGCAGCAGAGAGTAGACTGATACAGAGTCAGGTTAAGATCATACCACCACCCAGATGATATTGGGGCCTGCTTGTTACCTTCAGACATAAACCCATCGGTAGTGTTACCAACATGTTTAAAGCAGCTCGGGTTTATCAGAAATAACACAAAGACGTCTGAGTAGTTTGAGATAAACTTGAGAGAGACATGAGTTACACATCAGTTCAGTAAAGTTTAGTGTTTTGAAACAAAGGACGTGCGAAACAGAGTGGTGTTGTCATTACCCTTTTCTCCATCTCAAGCTGTGATCGGTCAGCATAGCGTTCCTGCCTCTGCAACAGGAAAACATACAAGTCATTCGTCATGAGGAGTTCTAATGGTGTTGTCGATACTGATGAGCTGAAACAGCGTGAGCTCCATGTACCTGTGTGGCCTTCTCTAGTTGTAGCTTCAAGTCTGCCAGCTCCAGGTCTGTGTCACGTAACTGGGCCTTCAACTTCTCGTTCTCAGCTAAGATCTGCTCGTAGAGCTGCACAAGAGACACAAACATAATCAACAAGTGTGACAAGTAAACAATCAAGGGACTCTAACATGCAATTCTCTCTGCCACCGAGTATGGAACAAAGGAAGCATGTCCACCACTGCACAACCAAAACAGGAAGAGGATAACGCTTTTGTCTTCCCACGGTGGCTATCGGTATCGGCTATTCCCAGGTTGCATTAATGGAGGAACAACAAGAGTAACTGGACTCTGAGGAAAACAGAGAGTGATCCAGTTGTCAGGTCAATTCAGCCAAATCCCATGAATTCTGTGTGACCTTGCAATTTTGTCCGATCACTGCAACTTTACAGCAAAATAGGTCAAGTCAAGAGCAGTTTATGGTGTACTCTCCTTGCCCTTCTCTGTGTATTATGAGACTACTGCTTCCCGAGTGTGAGCTCCATGACTGGGACAGTGTTGCACACACAGTGACAGGACTCACTGTTAGCATCACAAGGCTAACGTTTGGGTTAGATGACAGAGTTGGGCTGTGTCAGTGTTTAAGTGTTTGGAGCAGGGGCGATTGCTCTGAGACAACAAGGCAGGCTGAACTTCCCCTAAAATTTCATAGAAGAAATGGTCAAATATGCACTACTGAATTCATATTACAGTAAGAATTTAAATTGCATTAAACGTGCACTCGGATGCGTTTAACATCATGACTATGATGTTCAAACGTCAGCTGTTTATCACCAGTTTTCAAATGCGACCTCCCTGTCATACATTCTCATGTCAGCACGGTGGACGTGGAGCCTCCAAGCATTCCTATGAGACAGCACTGAGCAGTTTTTTTCATGCAGCAAAGCAAGACGCTCACTGGATAAATACGACAAAATCGTCACTTCCAGGGAGGCTCAGCTTCTCTGGGACCTGATGGAGCGGTAGGTGGGAGAGGATGCTCGGTGTATGCATGATGATAGGAGGAACTGTCTAACAGGCTGAACCCCTTTCTGATTGACAGGGCATCACATTTCGAGCTCAGTCCCATGTGGATATTTGCGAGTGGAGTCTTCTGACAGAGTGCCGCCGCGATATAGCTAATTTTCACCATTTGTACAGCACAGTTCAGGTGTTTAAACCCATTTGAAAATCTTTGAGGTGTGTTCTGCTGGGTTTCTGTGGCATGAGTGTGGTTGAAAAACGATTTCCATTAAATGTTCCTTTTATAAGTTACTGCCTCGCTACAATATGACAAATTTTATGATGTCCCTGCTTGAAAGACCAGCAGCTGCCTCTGGTTTGGAGGGGGTAGCTATGTGTATGCTTGTGAGTGTGTGTGTGTGCCAGCAAAAGTGTCTCTTTTGCATGTATAGGTTGCCAAACACTGGTCTACTGGCTCAGTGTTGGATGTTAGCTGCTGCTGCTGTATTAGCTTGTGCTAATCAGGCAGAAAGAACAGCTGACGGAGACGGTCCTTCAGCGCTGCCTCTAACAGCAGCAACAGCTAATCATCAGCAATCATCTGATGAGAGTTGAAAAGTCTGATTCCATTTAAATACGGTAAATTCTTATTGAAAATTTGGTAAAAAGCTACAATGTTAAAGTCCGTGAAAAGCAAATTCTGCTATTTTCTTCTAAACACATTAAATAGGTCATAAAAGTATTCCTCAAAATGTGTAAAATAGCCTTTCAACCATTTACAATTGAATTGTGGAGCTAGGCTTCACAAACCTTTCTAGGTTTCTGTGTTCTGGATTTAGTGGGCTCACATTTTTCACGTCACTATATCACCGTTTAGACTAATCTGATGTTTGTAAAGTCTATAAACACAATGATCGAACAAACACTACTATTTCTGTGTGCACGTTTTGTAATTAATAGTAATTAATTATCGCAGATAAGCTGGGCTAACCGTTAGCTGTTAGCCGTTAGCGGTGTCTGTAATAACTCAGTAACTAATAAATAAAGGATAATAAACGGTCCGTGTAAAAAAAAAAAAAAAAAATCTTTTCCAGCGGATATCTTAGTTACAACATGATTGAGCTAGCAAAGCAGTTTTGTGTTGCTATGCGTGGTATTTATTCAGTTTTGGGAAATCGCGATGTCTAGAAAGCATCAGTGGCTGCAGCTGACAGGGACAGCTAACAGCAGCAGCAAAGCTAACATCAGGACGTCATCTGTTAAAAGCCTCCCATTGTTTGATACGACATGAAACTACTCCAGTTAGCTCAATCATGTTGTAACTAAGACATCCGCTGGAAAAAATATTTTCAGTCAATGGAGCCGAACAGACACTCTCCCTCCCTGGATTACATCCTCCAGTTCCACCGGCTGCAGGTGCGGGGTTACGTCCTTGTACAGCACACGGAGGCGGCTTCCCTCCCGCCAGTGGGCAAGGACTGAATGGCTGCAGCCTGGAGTCATGAGACAACAGGCTGCAGCCACACCCCTCCGGACACACCCACAATGTTTCACAGAAGAGAGAAGTGCTTGTTTTTCCATGACTTTGAGAGCTAATTTTATATACTTAGCGATTTTTTTAATCTTTCAAATTTGGCTTGGTGATTAATGACACATATTTCTGTGATGTGACAAACTTATAACAGACATTTAAGCCAATTTTTGTCAGCTCTGCCTTCAGACCTGTTTCTATTACTCAGTGCTTCCTGCTGTTGGCTCGTACTTTGGATTGTGCTGCCAAATCATTAGAATCACTGATTTGGTACTTGGGCCTATTCAGTATCAATCAGTGACATCTTAGTAAAACACATTTTAGTGTAGACCATAACTTAGTATCACACCCATGTACAAAATTTCCTGTACAAAAGTCAAACTGCATCCTTTGCCAGTCGTAGGAATTAAACCCAGCATTCAGATAAGCTGAAGCAGCGGTGTGTGTAGCGTTTTATATCCAGTACACACCTTCTTATAATCAGTGGTGTCGTCTCTGTCCAGTCGGCTTGAGTATGTCCTCCGACTCTCACCATAGCCACGGCTAAGAGTGTCATTGCGATCTATAGATGAAGTGCTCTCATTCCTGCAACAACAACATAATTCAAAATTAAAAAATTTGTTTTGCAGTACAGGTAACGTATAAAGGATAATAAGAAAGAGTGTGACAATATGAAGGGGGCGAAACATACCTGGACAACCTGTCACTCTGTAAGAAAGCACAAATGAAAGCAAAGGTTAATGATGATGAAGAGAAAAGCACGTCACGACACTGAAAGCAGACACGTCTTAATGTTCTTCTTATTCAGACATAAACAAACTGAACAGACAGAAGAGACGAGACATTTTAAACTAAACCTCCACTCTCAGATTCTACAGCCTCTCTGCATCCATCAGCACCTGAACTTCCCTCCTTTGCAATCTGCCTCCTACACTCACTCCTGCACGACACACAAATACATGCAGATTTATTCCTAAACAGCTGCCATGCCAGCAAACTGCCTCGAGGCCTACTTCGTCTGCAGGCCTGCTGCGCTTTGTGCAGCGGCCCCCAGAACGGGGCCAGACATCAGATAGGGAGGTCGGGTCCGAGGGTCGGGCTTCCAGCTATTTTAAAATTGCAGTCCGCTTCCTGGGGCGGACAGAGGGCAGCGGAGACACAACAATGCTACAATCTGAGTCAAGGAGTCCTGAAGCCTTCAAGGAAAACCATCAGCTGATCAGATACACAGCCGGCTTGGCTCCATTCAATGCACAATGAGAGATTACAGCCACAATCTGGCAGTCACGACTCATGAATAACAAAGCAATGCTCCTGTTTGTGTTTTATAACGTGAGTCCTGTTGATGTTTATCTAATAAGGTTCAATAATTGTGTGTAAATCTTTTAAAGTCTGCTATAAAACACGATCTCTTCCAAATCTGCATTGCCCAAACACATTTTAACATTTTGCTGCTTTTAATTGAGAGATCCAGGCAGGAAGAGAAGACACTCAGAAGCTTTTCCTGTACGCTTTCCGATCTCCACGCAGAGATAATTGCTTGTTTCCTATTTAGTGCTCTGTTGCTGCTCCACCCTGTCGACTGTCCTCCTGAAAGTGACGGCTGGATGCAGCGTATATATCCCCACTGATTGTACTCGAGTAAACGACTACTGTCTGCTCTCAATGTCACGCTGCAAACACTCCTATTCAAACAGGATGTTCATCCAGCCAGCACTGTTTTCACAACACTGCCCTTTCTGCCTCACGCTGCCTCATCCATGGATATGGATACAACCTTTGTGTCACTATACTGCACTTTACATCAACTATTTACAATTTACAACCTCTGCTTATAACCTCTCTTGTCCTCTCCTCCGTGTGAGCAGCTGACAGTTCAGATGAAGTTTCACAGAATTTTGTCACGACTGCTGGTCGCTGCCTTGATGATGCAGATTTTTTTTTACAAAACAGTTTAATTGTTAACGGTTTATCTTCAAGAACACTGTAATCCTGTACTGCTGATTTATTGGAGGTTTACAGCAACAGCTGAAAGACAATTGGGATTGCAACCTTTGTCTATGACGCCCCAAAGCTATGGAGCACACTACCTACAGATATCAGGGCAGCTGGCTTACTAAATATTTTCAAAAGAAAGCTAAAAATGTCTTCACTCTAGCCTTTAACTAGCTAGGACTTTCCAGCCTGAAATGGTTTCCTTTTATATTTCACACTGCTGCAAGTCTTTTAAAAATGTTGCATCTTACTTGATTCCAATATTTATGGCTCCAGGATTCTATGATTTTGGTGATTTGGTGGTTTTATGCTCATTCTGTCTATGTGAAGCACTCAGTGTGTATAATTCCCTTGAAGAAGAATCAGAATCAGAAGAATCAGAAGAACAAGAACAATCAGAAGAAGAAGAAGAATCAGAAGAAGCAGAGTCAGAAGAATCAGAAGAAGAAGAATCAGAAGAAGAAGAATCAGAAGAAGAAGAATCAGAAGAAGAATCAGAATCAGAAGAATCAGAAGAAGAAGAATCAGAGTCAGAAGAATCAGAAGAAGAATCAGAAGAAGAATCAGAAGAATCAGAGTCAGAAGCAGAATCAGAGTCAGAAGAAGAATCAGAATCAGAAGAACAAGAATCAGAAGACTCAGAATCAGAAGAAGAATCAGAATCAGAAGAAGAATCAGAGTCAGAAGCAGAATCAGAAGAAGAAGAAGAATCAGAATCAGAAGAACAAGAATCAGAAGACTCAGAATCAGAAGAAGAATCAGAATCAGTCAGAAGAAGAATCAGAAGAATCAGAGTCAGAAGAAGAATCAGAATCAGAATCAGTCAGAAGAATCAGAAGAATCTGAGTCAGAATAAGAATCAGAATAATAATAATACTAAGAAGAAGAATCAGAAGAAGGAAGAAGAATCAGAAGAAGAAATATTTTATTAATATCCGAGGTTAGATTAAATTTTTTCCACTCTACTGTCATATACAAACAGGCTGGAAACACGCACACACATACAGGACCTATACATGCATTAAATGGAGAGATGTCAGAGAGAGGAGACTGCTTTGGACAGGCGCCCTGAGTGGTTGGGGGTTCAATGCCCAGGAGGTGAACTGGCACCTCTCCAGTCACCAGTCCACTCTCCATATTTAGTGCGTACAGGGACTTAAACTGTCAAGTGTTCCTCACATGATACATTCAAGGACCATCGGAAAACTAAAAATTTGACAATTTCTGTTTCTACAGTTTCTGGTGATGATAAACGGTGGAATCTGGGTAATATTTAAAAGATGACATGCCTTTCAAACCTGCTGGTGGGTTGTGGGGTTCAGAGACGATTAGCTAAGTGCACAGAGACTCTCTCCTGGTCTGAAGGATTCATTGTTTTTAAGTTATTTATTTGTAAACAGAACTACATTTTACTGAGTTATATATGTTCTTAACTTTCTAAATTTTGGAGGGAACTTTGTGCTTAAGCTTGAAAAGTGCCATATAAATAAAGTTATTATTATTATTCATGTGTGTGCTTCGACCCCAGTGACCCAGACTTCCTTTCCTTGCTATGTCTCCATGTTTCTAAAACCCTTAAAACTCATCTATGGCTGAGACCACTTTTGGTGTTGCAAGGTCACCGCAGCAACCAGACAATCACCAGAAGATGGAAACGAGGGGGAACAATAAAAATTCAAAGGCTGCGGACGGTGAGAAGGAAAGATAAGTGGGCGGGGAGGAAATCATAGCTGTACAGGGCAGGCAGAGTGCTGAATATCAAAGACTGCTGGACTTGCTCGGCCTTGACTTTATGAGATGAGACATGAGGACGGACCAGAATAGAGAACAAGTGCAGTGGGGCAAGAATCAAACGGAAGTCACGGCACACAAGAAACGCAATAGGGATGGTTTGGTTTTGGCTGTCAGGCTGTAAGGCTCCTGATTAAAAGTCAGTTTTATCCACTTTCTGCCCCGTGTGTGTTGCGTTACCTGTGGCTCTCCCTTGGTGCTGCCTTCCTCTGAGTCGGACTGCTGGTCGGGGTCATTTTCATCACCCTAGAATTAAAAAAGCACAGATAAAAGGGTTAGGCACGACTCGCAGCTCTCGTTATCCCACTGATCAAAGAGGAACTCGGGGTTGTGTCGGTGTTATAATCCGCCGCCGCCCCTCATGAACCGTGCCATGAATACTTTAATGGTGAGAGAAAAACTTCTATCACTGTGTGAAAGTCTCTTACATCCTGGGTCCAGAAGGAGACGCCGGTGGAGCGTCTCTTCTCGCGGGGCCGCCTGCGATCCCGTATGGAGCGGGGCTTGTCCTCTCCCTCCTTCTCCTCCTCCTTTTTGTCCATTTCTGTCCAAGCGCAGGAAAAAATGGTTGATTACACATGACACAGAGGTGATGTTGCTGCCATGACACCAAAAAGACACCAAATTAAAAGATAAGGAGAAGAATAATAACTAGTATAATTTTTACTCTGCACTCTGATGCACAAGTTGTTGGACTGCCCGAACATTCAGAAATTTTGGATGGGAATTAGCACCCAGAAACACAAAATTCCCTTCCCTCCTTGTCCGTTTGTCTTAGGGGATCCTTAACTTCTTCGTTCAAACCCATTACTTTCGATGTAGATGCGCGTCATGCACGCTCATAACCCAAAGCGACACTGTAGCGGCACGCATTCAGTGCGACACGCTTGTTTTTCGTCCGGCGCACAGCTCCACGGACCTGCTTCTCCCTTTGATGTTGTGTCAGATCCCGGTTCCCCCTCGGGCTGTGTCTCTCCTACTGTTTCCCACGGAGCTCTGCCCCGTTTGAAAGGCGAAGGAAGCCCGTATGTGGAAAGACGGCGCCTCCGAGATGTAGAATGTGTATTATAGAAGAGAAACACACATTTCAGGACCGCTGACTTGTATCATCAGAACAGACATGTCCTGTGATTTTCAGCCTCCTTTCATATTTAACAGAGGGGGGACAATACCTGACAGTAATATTCTCAGCTGTCAGGATGTGCCTGCTGTAAAGGGTAAACATAATCATAGAAGGCTGAAAATCACAGGACATGTCTGTTCTGATTATACAAGTCAGCAGTGTAAAGCTCAAGCATGGGGGGCCTCCTTTCATATTTAATAGAGGGGGGAAACATATCTAAAAGTACAAATGTCAAGATGCCCCCCGCTACAGGCCTTTGTCACCTTGGTCTTGAAAAAACCCAGGGAAAACCCTGTAATTATTATGTGTGAAGGGAGGGCCTCCGATGCTCCCTCGGTCAGTTCCTGGTTTAGTCAGCTTGGGCATCTAGCGGCATTGGAAAAGCTGACATTGAGACATCTACACGTTGAAATGGGACAATTGGGAAACCAACATTAAGGTCCCAGATGGAAGTTTGACTCATATGTAAACCCTGTTGTCCTTCATCTCATTGTGTACCACTGTAAAAACATTTACCTATCTTTGTTTTCTTTCACTACCTCTTTCAGGGAAACATATAATCTCGGCTGCAGATGTTAATTTCCCCCTGATTTCAGATCAGACTCCTGCCTGAACATGTTCAGTTGTGTTCAGACGCTTTTACAGTAAAATTTTAAAAAGGAAAAAGAGCTGCTACTCTCCGTTACCGTCACTCAACCGGCTGCAATGATGGTGCAGAGAATCTGAGATGCAGAAGACCCGTAAAGGCTGACCAATCAGAGCAGACTGGGACGTTTCTAGAGCGGGGTTTCAACAGACAGGTGCTAAAACAGAGTGTTGCCGACAGAAAGCGAACACAGGTGTTCAAACACAGACAGTATGAGAAAAATAAAGTGTTTTTGACCATTAAATCATGTAAACATGTTCTAGTAGAAACCAAAATACAACTATGAACCTGAAAATGTTTTAAATAGGCCCCCTTTAAACGTGTGTTGCATCAGACTGCTGGTCTTCTCCTTTAATTTAAGACAGAGTTTGCATATGAAAGAGATAAAAATGAGCCTGTGAGATTATAACATCTGCTCCTTTTGTAAATCTCTAAATCGTCTGCTTTTGACCTCTGTCAGTTTTTTCACAGGAGCACAATTTGACCGTCATTATTTTGACATCAACAATAAGCAAATCCTGTACATTAAGTCTGAGTTCAGGCAAAGATTTGACTTCACAAGAAACAATCAGACACAACTTGACTTGGCCTGAGTTCAGAGAAAATTAAAGATTAAAAAAAAAAGAGGTTGTGGTCGTGGGAGAACAAAGAGGTCAGTGTTTCCTTCAGTTCAACAGACTAAAACTGTCTTCTTTTTTCCCAGGGATGCTTCATGGATTTGTTTGTTCAGAGAGGAGTGACTTAATTTTAAATGCAACCTGATCCCTTTCTGTCTCTCCATGCCCTTAATCAACATGTGGCAGTTTGCCTGTGCTAATGTGGACCTGTGAGGACAGATAACAGCGTCATCCTCATGCTGCGCCTACGTAGGGAGAGCTTTGTTGTAGTCAGTTTAAAATGGATCCAGTCTGAGGTTTTAGTGGCCATGTAGCAGCTGTAGATGTATTCAGATGGCACTGACCTTTTTCCGTGTCTCTGGAGGAACGGCTATAGGAGGAGGTGATCCCTGTCAGACTGTTGGGCCTGTTGAGGGAGCTGGAACTGGAGGACAATGTGGTGCTAGTGTAGGACGGGGTGGAGGCAGTGCTGAGTGTGGAAATGGAGGAGGTAGAGGAGGAGGACGAAGGCCGGTAGCGCTGGTAGGGAGAGAGGGGGAGACGGGCGACAGGTGAGAGGGACAGTGTGGTCAAATATTCAAGGTGTAGAAGTGAAGTTGAGAGCGGAGATGTACCTCTTCATAGCTGCGGTACCTCGACCGGTAATCGTCTTCCTTGGTCTCCGTCTCCTTCTTCTCCTCCTGCTTCTCCTTGTCCTGCTTCTCCTTCTCCTCCTTCTCCTCCTCCCGGGTCTTTGGGGTACGATTCCTGCTGATTTTCTCAGCCTCTTGCAGGTCGGTCAGAGTCACACCCTGGAAAAACAGATTTAAGATTCATCGAATTTAAATTCCTTGCTTGGATTATTTTTTTTTATTCTATAACTATAATCTTGTTATTTACATTAAACTCCGAGCTCTGCAGTAAAAATCCAAGTCTAATCTCTGCTTTACAATGTTTAATCTTCAGTGTCAAAAACTGCAAGACTCTGTCAGCTTGTAAAACCATCAGCTCTTTGTGTAGGCCGGGACGTTAAGTGCCCATTGTGTACACAAAGAGTGCCGTCTCAACAAGGTTAACAGCTATATCTAAACAGTCTGTGGCTATAAAACCAGGATGCACACCAGGGACACCGTCAGGTCGCCGTGACGTGGGACTCTGTGCTTTCACTTGTCAACATATCAGAGGCAATAGTGGCTGACTGACCTGGGTGGACCTCCTCGACTGTCGGGCCTGTCTGGAGCGAGCTTTCCTCTGGGACTCTGACTCCTCGTCTCGCACTGGCGTCAGGTAGGACCTGATGTAGGCAAAGACACAAATAAACACATGGTTAAGATTAACTGTTTGGCAATAAGAGCATAAACACTAAACTCTAGCATCAGGTGACTGTTGAGATGGGGAAAGTTTGCATGTTCTCCCCGTGTCAGCGTGGGTTTCCTCCAGGTGCTCCGGCTTCCCCCCACAGTCTAAAGACATGCAGGTTAATTGGTGACTCTAAGTAGGTGTGAATGTGAGTGTGAATGGTTGTCTGTCTCTATGTGTCAGCCCTGTGATAGTCTGGTGACCTGTCCAGGGTGTACCCTGCCTCTCACCCAATGTCAGCTGGGATAGGCTCCAGACTAGTCGACGAGTTCAAGTTTAAACTTCCGTTTAACGTCAGGGAAACTATTAGAAGCGTCCCTAATGTGAGGCAGGATATTCATGGAAGATGTTTTAGTTTCCAAAGATAAACCTACTTTATGTTACTATAGTAAATCAGGATACAAGTCTCTGAGTTTAACGTCTTGCTATAACAGTATCAGGCTCAACAGGCGCAATTTTGGGAAAGAAAACACTGAGCTATTCTAGCACTTTCTCTCGCTGTGCCTCTGTCGGCCACACAGCAGCATGAACTCATTCAGTGCAGCGTGGAGCCTCGGCCTTGAGCAAAATGTGCGGCTTCTGCCCACCTTCCTTATAAGGAAAAGTCGCTGGAGCCGTCGCTGGTCCCGGCTCTGACACAGCCCCTGCCCCACTCCCACTGTGACAGGTGGCTCATTTCAGCACCGCAACAGGAAGACGAGCACTCGACCCCACTCAAACACACGTGCAAACACATGCTTTCTGTGACACTCGCGAGCTCTCCCTTCCCCTCCACGCTGTGCGTACAGAAGATCACACACACACACACACCCGCTTCTCAAACAGAGGAAATGCATCCGGATTACTGTGTGACTGATGGAAGCTTTTAAGGATGAGCCTGATATTTCTTGAAGCTGCTCACAGTAAATGTTTGTTCCAATAACTGAGCTGATCTTGAAATTGAATACGCATAAACAAAAACAGAACATAAATACAGTTAGTTAAACAAGATAATTTAAGTGCTCGTCTTTTCCAAAGAGATTATAACTCATGCAAAGGAAAAAAAGGGCACAGACAAAACGCTGTGGGACACTGAGAGTCCAAAATAGCAGCAGCTCACATCCCCGACTAAACAAAAGCTGAATTACAAATTGTAAATATCATCGAATAACAAACCAGCATTGGCAAATAAAAACAGAACTTTGACACAGATCCAGGGGAGATTACCCCACTGACACATCTGGATGCTACAGTGAGAGTTAATATGGACATGAATAACTTCTTTATGATTGAAAAGTAAACGGCGTGTGTTTGTGTTACCTGCGTCTTTCGCCAGTGACGGTGCCGGTGGTGGTAGTGGTAGATATGGCGGGGGTGGTGATAGTGGTAGATGTGGTGGTCGTAGTAGAGCCAGTGTTTATAGTGGGAATGACCGCGGCGGACTCCTTCTCCTTCTCCTTTTCCCTCTCCTCCCCTCTCTCCTCTGACCAGTACCTGTTTACACACCAGTGTTTTATAAAGACACGAAGCCTGACTGACTCTATTTCAACTGTTTTTATCATAAAACTGAAATATGTGGTTTCAGAGGGCCTGTAAGTGAAGCCACATGTCTGCTGGCAGCCATTTTGGAAGACAGGTACTGTAGCATTCCTATACCCTTATCAAACACACTATTTCTGTGCATTTTCTTAGCTACAGATTCATCTTGAGCTCAAGATAAGGATACAATGTCACAAGAATGTACTTCAACTTAAATAAACCCCCCATGGAGTTACAAAACTAGTTAAATATCCACATGCTACAGGTCGCACACGTCTTGTGTCTCATTTTCACGTTTGGATGATGGCAGTCGTGTTCATGTACCTGCTGGTGAGACTGGTGGAGCCAGTGCGGGTGGAGGAGGAGCCCAGGCTGGAGAGCAGGCCGCGATGGCCTGTGGGCGAGGTAACAGATGAGGAGGTGGTGGTGGTCGTGGAGGAGGAGGAGGAGGAGGAGGAGGTGGTCGAGGAACCCAAGTCCTCGTGTCTTCTGCCAAAAGAGCCGCTGGAGGACAAAATGTCAGATAAACAAAGAAGAGTCATCAGTAAGTCAGAGCGGGATACAAACACAGCTATGATGAACTACAATGGTGATTCATTAGATATTAGAATTCTGTCACTGCATGAGATTAGAGGGAAAAGAAATAAGAATGAGAGGGTTTTCTATAGGATAACAAAACTGCACCTTCCTTTTGTGTAATCTTTATGACAAGAAAGCAGTGTTTACGTCAATGCGTTTAGAAAATTAAACTTAAAGTAGGAGGCAGTGATCCTTTTTTCTTCACAGTTCTAGTGCCTCTTTTACATTTTCTATTGCAGAGGTTTGAAACATTCTCCTTCTGCTGCCAGTAATGATGGCTCTGCGCATGTATTATATTCAAAAAGGTACTTCACCCACAAAATGGCCCTTTGTATGTCAATTATCCCCCCTGTGTTACATTGATTCAGTGAAGAAAACTTTGATTTTCTTGCATGCCTCCAGTGAATGAAGAATCCAAAAACTGAGAAAATTCACCTTGAATTGAAGTCACAGACAATCGACAGCAAAACTATAACGAAACATCTGTTTACAAGCTCTCACAGTCTCATTTATCCAGTTGTACGCTCAGTACTTCCCAAACAGACAGCCCTTTCTAAAGGGGAACTGAAAGGACAGTGAGGCTTATCTATGATCTCTTCAAAGCCAAACCTCATTGACAAAAACAGTAATTTTACCTCACTGAACACAGGAGCTGCTGGTCTACTGCTGCCTTCATCTGTAGTGTGTTGAGTGACTTTAGGGAGTTCGAACTAACCCTTTAAAACACTAAAGTCACACAATAACACTACCGATCGAGGCAGCAGTAGACCAGCAGCTCCTGTGTTCAGCTAGGTAAAATTACTGTTTTTGTCAACGGAGTCTGGCTTTGAAGGGAGCATAGATAAGATTCACTTTCTGTTCAGTTTTTAATAGTAAGATTTTAGCAAAAAAGCACGTCTTTGGGGAGTACTAAGCATACATATATAAATGAGACTGGGATTATACTGCATGAGTTATTTGAGAGTTTGTAAACAGGTGTATTGATATAGGTTTGCTGTTGTTTAATGCAGCCCCCTTTGACTTCAATTCATCAAGAACTTTGAACATTTTTGGATTCTTCATTCACCGTGAAGGCATGGGAGAAAAACAAAGTGTACTTCATAAATTCAACATAACACGGGGAGTACTTGATGTACAGATTGTCATTTGAGGGGTGAAGTATTGCTTTAAGAAATAAGGAATGAAACCCTCATTTGCAAAAACTGGGAGATGTATTGTTTTTTTGCCAATCCTATGGTTATTTAAGGAAGGGTTAAAGGTTCTGTTAGTTATGACTAAGTTCTAATAATGACGATTGATTTAAAAAGAAAATTTTAAATACTGCTGCTTCAGTAAAAATTATGCTAAACATACTGTCAATGATAGGACAGCAGTGTCACAGTGTTACTCAATGACATCGCTACTTAATTTTGCTATCTCGTCCATAAAAGGCAAGTTTGAAATCCTCTGGCTGCAACTAACGATTATTTTAATGATCAGTTAATCTGCCCTTTATTTTCTCAATTAATCAATTAATTTTTCTGTCAATATAATGTCAGAAAATAGTGAAAAATGCCGAGTAATTCCCCAAATTCAAGGAGTCATCGACAAAACGGTGTGTTTCAATGGATCAACAGTCCGAAAATCCAAAAAATATTCAGTTTCTTATCACTTGAATGACAAAAAAACATTAAAATTTCACATTTAAGAAACATGAAACCAGATTTTTTTTTTTTTTGCTTTTTGTCTAAAAAATTACTTAAATGATCATTAAATAACCAAAAATAGTTACCAATTTATTTATTTTTTGTCCATTACCTAGTTGATAATTCAAATACTTGTTGCAGCTCTACATTTACTGGGTGAGTTGGAAGACATTTAAATCTCCTCTCTGGACTGAGTGATAAACAAGCATGTCTTCTGATATTCATTAGCACAATAAATGCAACCAGAGTAACACAGTACACATGGTGGGCACTGCAGCAGAGCAGGGACATACAGTCAGAGAGGACAGGTGGGTGTGGAGATGGTGGCGCCCCGGGAGGAGGCTGGTGTACCTGCGGTAAATGCTGTAAGACGGGTAGTGGGAGGTGGGTGGTTGCCAGGGTTTAGTATTACAGGTGTTAGGGTCCAAGCTGGAGGTGGACGAAGACTTGGCTGGCACGTCCCGCGTGCTGCCGCTCCGCCCTAGTGCTAGCGTGTGGGACGTGCTGGCGTGTTGGCAGGCGGGGTGGGCGAGAGAGGCATGTTAGCGGTGGAGGCGCACACACACAGATATAGTACAAGAAACATACATATTTAAGACTATTAAGCTTTGACACACTATTGGTGCATTCATGTCATATGGGGGGGGGGATGCTGATTTGATGATTTTAAGAGAGATCATGAGTTTTAAAGTGTTTGGAGATGCCGTAAATTAAAATTTGTTGCAGATTTTTGATGATTAATCAAAGTTTTATACTGATATAGAATAATGAAGAAGGTTTGCATCCAGTATTTCCCCATATGACATGAATGCAGCATAAGTCCACGTCTAGGTTTTGTGCCACAAACAACCCTGGGAACTTTATCTCACAGGTATATAGCCTCGTTAAAATGTCAGAGCAATACATTTTAAACTCAGTGGCACAGCAACCTGACGGGACAGGTACAGTCATGCAACAGACTCTTGTGGCAGTGGTAGAGAAAAAGCTTTCTCAGTAGCTGCTGCTGTGCATGGAAGCATGTAACTCTGATGACATCATCCAAGCAAACTGTACAGTAGATGATTGATAAACAACTATCAATGCCGTCTACACAGTTTCTACAGGTCGACCTCAGAATGAATAAACACATCACATCAGATGGAGCAGAGATCTGATGATGAGATGAAGGGTGGAGGTTTGGCAGAGTGTTGCGTCGCAGGAGAGGCTAACCTGCGCTGGTAGCTGGGGGTTCGGTTGGTGGAGGCGCTTCCTTCACTGTTCTTCAGGTCGTCGTCCCAGCGTCGCCGGGTGTACGAGCCGCTACGAATCAGAGCGGTAGAGTCCCTGGGGAACCACAAGCTTCAATAGCACCTCAGGCTTCCCCAAACAGATACTGACATACATATGTACTTATGAAACACACAATCTTCACCGTTAACCCTTATTCTACCCACTATCAAATCTACCCTATCATTGCTACACAACCTAACCAAAGGCAGTGTCTCAGGGCCAACACACCATGCAGAGCATTGAGGCCTTTTGCCTGCAACACACAGCAGTGGGCAGCAGGAGCCGCTCATGCCAATGCATGTTTGCACAGAGCCACTCGGCTCCTGGGTTTCACCTGTTTTCCTTCTCGTCAATGTCTGAAGTACTGGCCAGTCTCCTGGGGATGGTGGGGGCCACGTAGGCCAGCCGAGTTCCTTTATCCTTTTCCTGCAGACAGAGTAACAAAAACAGACTCATGTCAGTGAGCACGTATACAATAACTTTAAATTCGACTAGATTTTAATATTTTATACTGACCTTCTCTTTGTCTTTGTTGTCCAGAGAGGAGGAGAGGCGAGGGCTCGAGGCCGAGCGCATCACTCCGGTCGTGTCCTTCTCCCTCTGAGCCTCCTTGGTGGCGGTGATCTCGGCTAGCGCCCCGTAGCTGCCCGTCTTCCTCAAACCCAGCCGCCATGACGCCGGAGACTCGTCCTTCCTCTCCTCCTCCACTTTGGTGGAGACCTTTCCAGCAGGCTGAGGGGCCTGAGAGGGAGAAAGCGGCAGCCGTTTAGTGTGCAACGTTATAAAAGTATAAAGATGTTAAATGAAATTTCTTTAGTCATCTGGGTGAGTAACACAGAAGTCAGTCAGGTCACAAACAGTTTGGATTAATCTCCAGGGGCTGTGATTTAAGTTTAAACGGTGAGACCATTAGGACATTTTTAAGGACGGGCATGCCGGTTAAGGTACAATCACATCCACTGTTACTACTACTGGACGCAAGTTATTCCTGAGTAAACTCTACTCTCACAATATGACAGTTGGTGAAAGGGGAATTAAACCTGTTGAGATTTTAGGGTCCGACTGTTTTCAGATTTGGCCACATACACAAAAAGAAAACAAGCAACTAAACAAAAACACAGAAGCCACACAGACACACAGTAGAAGCACGACCAGGACACAGTGTTGATTACAAGTGGAAACACCATGTTGATGAGTGAAAGTCAGCGTTATGGAGGTTCAGCATCACCTGGATGGGGCCAGGGTGGTTAGGAGTGTTAAGTACTTTGTCAGTGCACAGGTGCATGTAGGATGAGAGAACAACTCCGGTGCACACCAATGCCTCACCATAGGTTTTTTGGGCACTAGAGAAATGCCAGTTTTGCGCAAGCCTTGACGCCACAATGCAGGACAGCCCGGCTCCGCCACAGGCATGAGGGGAGTAATACATTCAAACTACAGCCAACCAAGACAAGAGGCCAGGATGAGAAAGACGCAGAGAGAGGGAGGGAGGGAAGGAGGGCAGGGCAGGGAGGAGGTTGAGACAGAGATAAAAAGCCAGAATAAGACAGAAGAAGCAGCAAAAGAACTTTATGGCAAGGACAGATTTTTTAAGGCCTAGTCACACCACACAATGCTTACTGCCAAACCAGGGGGAGGGGGACTACTGCTATTGTTCTCAGTTGGAATAAGTGACAGATCCAACAAACATTTGGTAGTGTCAAAACTGCACATTGTTAATGTTTTCTTCACTCTTTGTTAAGACAGAAGACATTGTGATGTGTGAGCACTAGGCTTCAAAGGAGGACTGGGACAAGGACATCATTGCAAGAGACGAAGCAGAAAAAACATTTAGAAAGTTTTGGATAGGTGGCCACTGACCCAACAACTAAAGGGTGCCCTCTTATTTAAAGGGTAACTTGAGTAATTTTCAACCTGGACCTTATTTTCTCCTGTTTTTGTGTCTAAGTGACTGATGGAGACAACTATTTTTTAAAACTGGTCCAGCACTGAGCAAGAGGTGAAACAAGCTGCAATGTAACCACATGTACCTCCTCTAAAAGAGCTTGTTTTTGCCACTGACAGGCTCAGGTTGTTATTCTAAATGTCTGACAACATTACTGAAAGGATCCTTACAGAGATAGACCTTTTTGTTTAAGAGTAAGATTCTTTTTCTTTAACCAGAAACAGGCCCGAAATTGCTACTGTCATTTCCACCAGACTCCATTCACAGTATACAGTAATTTTAGTGTGTATGGATCAAGAATATTTGCACATCTAACAGAGTAAATTAAGGGTTTATCTCAACCAAACCAGAGTTGTTGGTACAGTTTTCTTTTGTTTCTGTTGATTTGTTTTATGATGACAAAATTACTATTTATTTGGAGCCTGGTTTGAATGGTAATTTTGGGGCTGTTTTCATCAGTTTTCATCCACTAAAAGTGTTTGTTTTTGCCACTGACAGGCTCAGATTATTGTTGTAAGTGTCTGACAACATTATGGAAAGGATCCCTACAGAGATAGACCTTTTTGTTAAAGAGTAAGATCCTTTTTGTTTGACTGAAAACAGCCCCAAAATTGCTACTGTCAGTTCCATCAGACTCCATTTAAATAAACTGTAATTTTAGTGTGTATGGAACAAGGACATTTGCACATCTAACTGGATAAATAAGGGGTTTTCTTTTAACCAAACCAGAGTTGGTAATTGTTAGAACAGTGGAAAAAATGAACCAAGATGGGTTTTTCTGTGAGTTTTCTTTTCTGTTGACTTTATTTAAATGAACAGTAATTTAGAGTCTGGTTGGAATGGCGACAACTATTTTGGAGCTGTTTCCATCATTTTACGTCCACTAAAAGTGCTTGTTTTTGCCACTGACAGGCTCAGATTATTGTTTTAACTGTCTGACAACATGGTGGAACGGATCCCGACAGAGATAGACCTTTTTGTTAAAGGTTAAGATCTTTTTTGTGGGGGCACCCAGTAGCTCGGTGGGCAGAGCAGGTGTCCCACGTACAATGGCAATGTCCTTGCTACAGCGGCCATGGGTTCAACTCCAGCTTGTGGCCTTTTGCTGCACGTCATCCCGTCTCTCTCTCTCTCTCCACCTCTCACACTTAATACTGTCGTATCAATTAAAGGCAAAAGACAAGACAAAGACCATTTTTGTTTGCAAGAAACAAGCTTGAAATTGCCATGTCCAAACCCACCAGAACCCATTTAAATAACCAGTAATTTTATCATTATAAAATACAATTCACACTTCAAACCATCTTGGTTTGTCTCTTCACTGTTCCAACAATCACCAACTGTGGTTTGGTTGAAATAAACCTTTAATTCACTCAGTTAGATGTGAAAATATGCTGATTCTATACACGCTAAAATTACTGTTTATTTAAATGGAGTCTGGTGGAGTTGGTGATGGCGATTTCAGGGCTGTTTGTAGTTAAACAAAAAGGATCTTCCTGTTTAAAAAAGGGTCTATGTTTGTAGGGATCCTTTCCATACTATTGTCAGACACTTGGAATAACAATCTGAGCCTGTCACTGTCAAAAACAAACACTTTAAAGGACAAACATTGATGGTGCAAACATGCTTCGATTGGTTCCATTGCAGCATGTGTCGCGACTGCCAGCTGCAGCGCTCTCGCTCCATACTGGACCAGTTTCAAAAATGGTTGTTCCTATTAGTTACTAAGACATAAAATGTGGTAAAACAGTGTCTAGGAAAATACCAACTTACCCTTTGAGCAACATTCTGGAGCGTCAAAAGGTAATGAAATCTGTAGACAGTGTCAATGATTATCATGGCTTTAATTTAGGGGTTTCCTTTTTGGGTCTCGAAGCATCCCAGGTTAACTTTGGCCACACAAACACTCGAAAACACCTACAGTTAAACATGATGTCACATTGACTGAAGGAGGCAGATTCACTTTAGTTAAATGCATGGATTCATTTTGCCAGCAGAGGGCAGCAGACACAAAGTGGGAAATCACTGCTATGCAAGCCCTGGTTTTCATTCCTGACAACCAATCCACTCCAGTGCTCTGTGTACTCCAGCCTCCTCTTATAGTAAACTGTTAACATCATCCAGCATCGGCCACCAATCATCCCCACTGTGCAGCCCGTTGCCATGTTTGTTAAACGCCTCTGACAATTAGTCGTAAATTGTCACTCTCAGGGCCTCTGTGACATTTGTTAGCTGTGTGCACTCATTGTACTGCAACATGAGGAGCACAAATCACAACCAGGGACAACTATTTCTGTGATGGCCTGGAGTGTGAACTGCTTTTACGTAAACGCCTCAGTATCATCAGCCGGCTGTGAAATTAGGTTTGTGTTCAAGGGAGAGAGAAACTAAATAGATGGTGGATTTCACTGATTTGTGTAGAGAGTGAGGCACCGACATGTCTCAGCAGAGTAAAGCCGATGTGACAGAGGAGGTGCAGTTACTACTTGAAATGGTTTGAGGGGGGGGGAATAGTGACATGATTACATCACAGCTGTGCTGCAGCGTTTAATTTCCTCCAAGGCGTTTTGAAACCAACCAGCTGCTAATTTGAATGAAATCTGTCTTTTGTTTTTTCTGCCAGTGCTGTGGCAGCTGTCTGCGCAGGGTAGGGTGATGAATAACACGTCCACCAGGTCGCACCTTCTTTACCGGTGAAGTGGGGGTTGTCACCTGGTTGGTTGGGCTAGTCGGAGGTGACACGGTGATGCTGGTCGGGGCGGGCGTCGTGCTGTTGCTCACCGATGCAGAAGGCTTGGTCTTATCTGGAGGAGTCGAAAAGAAAAGAGTTGATTATGCTCAGAGAATTAGAGCTGCAACAATTAGGTGACCACTCGCATAATCAATGGACTAAATATTCAGCCTCTTAAATATGGAGATCAGAGGTCACCTTTACCAAATATTTTCTGTCACTGATTGAATGTTTGAAACAATGACCTTAAAATCTGAAGGCCATCCATCATTTTGGCAGATTATGACAGTGAGGGCGATCTTCCGTAACTTCACCAAACCTATGTCCTTGTGCAAATTAATTAGCCATCGTCTCTTCTCATGTGCATGACCTCGTTGTCTAGCTGGCTTTAGCCATCACATTGGTAGACTGAGTGCCTAAAGTGTCTTTGCATAGTCAGTGTTTGTTCATCTTTTCTTTCCATGGGAGAGAAAAAACGGGAATGGTCAGAGTTGTCATATTGACAGTTAAGGAGTGTTGACTGATTCACAATGTAACATGCCAGAAAATGTCATCTTCAAAGTAGCCGGTAGCCTTTGAGTGTTTAAGTGAACAAAACTATTTTTCTCAGTCTATTAAAAGATGAGAAGGCGGTAAAACATCCATTCATTTTATAGTTATAGTTGACAAATGTATTTAAACCTACAGAACCCTTGAAACAAGCCACATCCTACCCGTGCGCTTTCAAAACTACACCCCTGCTTTACAAATGCATCATCTACTAGCTTGTTCTGTGTACTAACAATTAAAAAATGAAAGTTAAGTGTTATTAAATGTCTTATCAATAAAAAAATAAAATTAAAATGATGGGTAATAATAGATTATGATGGAATTTTTAAGACTGTCAGTCAAAATGATCGACGACGAGAAAGGAGATTTCCTACTTTCCTCTGTCTCCCTGTTCTCTGTCATATTACACTGAACATATTTGGGTTTTAGACTTACAAAACAAGATATTTAAAGCATGGATGCACCAATTTATTGGCTGAACACTGCTATCGGTCGATATTCGCCTTAGTGACTGCCATCAGCCTACTGGCAGAGGAGATAAGATCAGTTTTTGTACAGGCTAAAAAGCAGAGCCCAAGGCGAACAGTCACAAAGTTAAATTAATGAGCAGGTAAAAGATGAATAAATGACTCTTTGGCAGATGGGCTCTGAGATCTTATTGTTGTGTGAAGAGATTGCCAGTAGCAGCCCGCATCCAGTTCCCCTTGGGAAAGTGGAAAGCATTTAAAAAACAGTATGTGTATTGGTATCGGCTATCGGCCAAGTTGTTATTTTTTACATTGGTATTGATCCAGAATTCCCCAATTTAAAGGTATCACCTTAGAGACTAAGATGGACATAGTCGGACATAATCATTAAAACAATGGTTAACTGCAGCTCTACAGTCAAGACTAGAAAGATTTTATGTGCTGACACAGAGCTGATGGAATTAAATTTTATGTCAGTGATTCAACTGACACCCAGTCAACGCTTTGTTTTCAGACCTGATCTACTGAAGTCTAAAATAAGTCTCTCTCTCACACACACACTCTCACATGTACCTGCTTCAGTCTCTGACTCTGAGTCTTCATCATCCTCTTCCTCACTGGAGCAGCTTGATTCGTCCTTCTTCCCCTCCTCTCCTTCATCCACCTTCTCCGGTTCTAAGGTCTCGATGCGTGGGGCGCTCTTCTCAGGCTCCAGAAGCAGCGTTTCTTTGCTGCAACACAGATTTAACACCATTAGTAAAGAACCAACAGCATCGGTGCAGTGTTTAAGTCACAGATACATCATGAAATATTCAAACCAAACAAGAAGTTTAATTAGTTATGCCTACGCTACAGATGGTTTGATAATCTTAAAACTAATTTAGCAGACAGTTTCTGTTGATGAATTTTCAAGCTATTTACCTCTTGAGTGGTTTCAGTGATTGGTTGTTATCCCCAGTGGTTGTCGTTTCAATCAAAGGAGATTTCTTAACGTCTTTCTTGTCACCTATCAGCTGCAAAACAGAAAACAAAAATCAGATATTCTCACAGGGGAAAAGACATACAATCCTGGACACACAATCTCTCTTGTGAGGCACGACGGTAACGTCTGCCAAGTTGCCGGTGGCGACCATTTTGAAAAATTGGCAACCAATTCTGGGCCTTCAGCTGCAATCAATGGCAACCACTTTCTAACATATAAGAAAAAGGGATAATAGGTGATAAATGTGAGGAGGATGGAGGAGCTAACACTCACACTGAAGGGTCGATGAACAGCTCTTTGCAAGATTGATTGATGTATTATAGTGAAGGACGACCTGAGGCTTGGTGTGTCAGGGCCCTTGTGTCACATGGTGACTAAAAGTAGCAGCCATTATTTCAGTTTCAGCAATCAAAAGCTGATCCCTGGTTTCAAGCCTGGCAACTACTTTTATAATTTAGTGCTGAGCCCTGTCTTGTGTTTAAAATAAAATGAACTCAATCATATTTAACCACCACTAACACTGCTGACAGTACAGACACATTAACTTACCAGATTTTGCTTCTTTTGTAGTTCTTCTAAATATCCCAGAACATCTTCATCTGCTACATCAAAAGCTGTCTGGCCCTGAGGGAGGAAATAAAACCCATGTTATCTATAATATGGATTGCACGGCACTTAACGACGAGACTCGTGACAGTTCCAGTTACTCACCATTTTATTAATGAGGTCCATGTCACATAGATTCTCCACCAGTATCCTACATGCTTCCTCTTTGCCCCAGTGTGCTGCTGCATGTAACGGAGTCCAGCCATCATAGTCCTTAATATTTACATCATACCCTGCTTGGATTAAAAGCCTGCAGGAACCAGAAACAGTGTTTGTTAGAATTTGCGAATCTGTTTATTTCGGCTTTGATTCTGTAACCTAATCTTTCGAGGTGCTGACAGCGTCCAGGCTTTTAGAACTGCGTCAGCATTGTAACCCCGGGTCAGATTTATGAGATACAGAGTCCATCCCCTAAACACATGGAAACATAATCTGGAAATCTTAGTCATCCCTGAGCGAGCGCACGATGAGGTTGGCAAATTTGAAAGCTCTAATATTGCAGCCCGTAAATCTGTCATGACGGGGAAAACATTTAGATCTCCCTCTTGTATATAGTGGCTGTGCTAAACATCAGAGATCTCAGAGCTATCTATGGCAGTACAGTGTGCTGGCTGGCTTCCCGGACCAGATGGACAGGTGGCTGCAGTTTCCTCGAGCGGTGTAGCTGTATTAACAGCCCACAGAGACAATGTCAGCACAACACGCTGACAAGACTCAGAGACCAGAAACACACAATGCGAGGCCTCAACACTGTCTGTACTATAAATAGTATTTATATAACGTCAGAAAACGGACAGGATTTATGTAACAACACGCAACAAATGAGTTCATCAGAGAAAACACTTAACACTCAGTCTTCAACATGTGAAATCAATGCCGCTGCTTACTTTAAAACCTCGGCGTATCCTTTCGCAGCAGCTACGTGGAGCGCCGTCCCTCCAGACTTGGTGTGCCGTGTGTCTTGGATCTGGCCGCTGTTGAGCCACTGCCGGGCGTCCCTTAGCATGATCCGCTCCTCCTCTTTCCGGGCTGCCTCGATGTCCACCCCTGGTGTGTGACACAGGAGATGGATACTGTCAAATTGGCGCTGACAGATTAGCTGCTACTTAGGAGCAAGCTGCCAGCTGTAACACTGAACTCAGAGAATAGAGGAGCGAGGCACATTGAGGTATTTATAACAAGTTGTGCTTGTTTACATCAAGAGAGGTGAATGTTTGGGATACTTTACGTTAGCTTGTAGGTATGGATTACACAGGAAATCTTTCAATACACAGCCACAAGATAAATCTCTGCATATTTAAACACTGTAATGATAATGCAGAAATGCTATCCATCGTTAAGGTTCTACAGAGGAAAAAGAAATCGACGTGACATTATTCTGGCAGCCTGTAAACACTAGAGGGTGTTTTAAAGAACTTGCTCTGCCTTCGCAATTACTTCTGTGCCAATATTCTGTCAATTTGTCAATGAAATAGTTGCTGCAAACACACAGGCCTCAGCTGGTTAAGTGGGTCAATATGTCTAAGGTATAAGCTTCATGCAGTGAAAACAGGCCTGCATTGTCCTGTTGACACCTGGTTGGAGCACGAGACGGTCTGAAATGCACGGCCGCACGAGTCGTTGCCTCGTTGACTGAGTGTTAACTGTGTCGAACTGCGTAAACAGTGATCCAAGAAGTGCTCTGGGGCAGGAGCCAAAACTGCAGCTGATCTTATAGGTTTTTGTTCTACTCCCAAGGATACATCATCGCTCATTTCCTGACACTCCAGAAAGCTCCAAGATTGCCTCGAGCTTTTAAACCAATGAAAGGGGACATCTGTGTCTGCGAGCTTGGCTTAGGCAAATGGGCAGGCGGAGGAGAGGTCTAACTTTACCCCAGAAATTCAGTCATTGCTCGCTGGAGAGGAGCACAAGGTGGTCTGTTAGACAAGAAGAGGACACTTCAAATTCAAAAACAAAGTCATGAAGACATCTGCTGTGAGCTTTTTATTCGCGCAGTTTTTTGATATGCCTTAAATATCACACACAACACAGGCTCACACTGAGAAAGGTAACAGTAATACTCTGGTTCATTGCTCATCAGTGGACTGAAGTCTAAGAAAGTGAAACCAGATCTTATGACGATGAGTCCGGATCTGAGGTTATGTTCGACGGAATTTCAAGTTTTCCTTAAAACATTTTAAACCAAATGACTTTGGGACACCTCACCAGTGTCTCACTATGGCTGGCTGGTCAGTGGTTACTTAGATATGCCTGCTAAAATATTGTCACAATTTTTAAAAGGTTACAAAAACCAGAAACTGTTCACACAACTTAGGCTAGATAATTACATATTCTATGACATGTCAAGAAGCTAACAAATATGAATTGTGATCAAAATCTAAATTAAAGACACAATTTACTTGCAGCAGACACTTTTAAAAATCTGCATGACATTAGAAGACGTCATTTATGATCTAGCCTAGTCTAGTGTCGCACATTGTTGTGTATTTCATCAACACCGACACGAGTTATATTGAGTATTTTCAACCTGTTTAACTTTAAACTATTAAAGAGCATACGACACCAGGCAGAGTTGTGCAAGTGCGCGTTCATATAACTGACTCATGTTTTTGGTGAAGGGTGAACTAAATGTATTCATTTTCAACTTATGAACATAAGCATCGTTGACTCTTGCGATGGTTAACGATGCTCCCATACTGCTGTACTGCATGCCAGTAATTGTCCTTATAGATATGGGTTTCCCCTACCCACTGTTTCACAGGAGAACAGACTTCAACACAACGTGCCACTGACAATTCAGACAACACAGCTACCGGTACTGCGAAGGTTCATATGAATATTTAAAGGAGACTGTGCCCGTTGGTTGTTTAAAACCAGCCCCAATGTCAAGTTGAAGCATAAGACCAGTCTAAGGGCTCATTTACACTTAACATTAGATACAGAGACCAACAGAGCCTTCTGTCCACACTCATTTTATCCATATTTGTGCACGATTTCTGAGAGCTTACAGATGTGGACGAATGGTGGAGACAGTGTAGCATAGTTCAAGCGAGACACGACCATAGAAGATGATGTACATATTGAAATAATGGCGGAATGGAACAAATCAGTAATAAAGCAAAAAGAATTCTCTGTCCACATGACAGGACGTATCTGATGGCATCACAGAACACCGTCATATAGAAGGACGCCTCCTTTTAAAGGTACAATATTACGACCTCCTCCACTGTCACCTCTTTTGTTGTTGTGTGAAACTTTCCACTCTGCCCTCTAGTAATCTCTTGACTGTACCTATGCCCATATAAAGGACGCAAGACAGCATAAGGGCAGTGGCGTTTACAATGTATGAAATGGACGTATCTATTTTCTTACGTAAAGGGAGTATAAATTAGCCTTAAGGAAATATCTGTGAGTGAATGATGTTCACAAGGTTTAATTCTATTTATAAGAAAACTAAAGATATGAATGTCAACTAGTTAATTTGTTGGGACTGAAATAAGTTCAAAATTCAAATTGAGACCTTTGAATGTAAACTAGCTAATTTTAATCTGTGTGCACTTAACTTTGAAGCGTGACCAGGTATGCATAGTCTAACTCGATTTAATTATTAAAATCAAAAAGGTGTGAGATCTACAGAAATGCTACAATTCTAACCTCAGCTGTCATGTAAATCCATCCCAACTTGCCAAGTTAGAGTTAAACGCAGTACACACACTCTGTGGAGGAAAATTAACCTCAACTTCCTGAGTGCAGCTCAGTTAATGTAGGCAATGGGAGCTGGCCAGGTAGACCAGCGCCCCGTGATCTCTTGGGAAGTAGCCTACACTGTGTCTATAAAAAGCAGGGAGCCTAATGGCCTCTAAGTAGGACTACAGAACAGGAAGGAGTGGAAGAGTTGGCAGCGGTTCAAAGTCAAGTTTTTACAAGAGAACAGCACATCTTCCACAGGAGAAGATAAAAAGAAAATCCAATAGACCAAAAAAGGACTTGCCTCCCCCTCCACCTCACCTACAGTATACTGTACCTACAGTATGTCTGGTGAGGCCAGAATGAAATATCTTCAGATATCTACCCTGAAGCAGGCACCAGGATCCTCTGAGATAAGAACTGTTACTGCTGGCTTTTTAGGAGAGAAGAAAGAAAACAATTATTTTAAACTGAGAGGAAACTACAGTTTCAGCCGTGTGTCCTCTCAGCACCAGGGACAGAGTGCGATATAGAGACACAGTGAGATTATCCACCTTCAGTCCATCACAAGGACAGACAGCAGCCCTCATGAAGCAGCTGATGGAGAAGGGGAAGGAGGGCGACGGAGGTTGTCCAGTCACTTGACCCAATCAGGGTCAAGGAGAGGATCTAGAGGCTGTCCCTGCTGAGGGGAAACCGTGGCCACTTGCTAACAAGTTTAACCCCATGACTGGTGTCTCTTTGAGAGGAGAAAATCACATTACAATCATACAGAAGCGTTACACAACAGCTAGTTGCATAATGCTGCCTGCTACCTCTCGCACAGAGGACTGAGCTGTGGATTGTCTGCAGCAGCCCCGAGGCCAGGATCATCGCACATTCATTCGTCAGTGCAGTTTTATCTCAAAAGCACATTTATGCAAGTCTGCATTAAAGAATAAATAAATACAGCTCAAACTTGAATACGTAACGTCCACATAATGAAAATGTATTCACTAGTTTGGCTCTGTGAGGTCTATGAGCGTGGCAAATGAAGATGCACATTTTGTTTTGCATCTGTCAGTGATGGATCTTAGGGGAGGGAGCGTGCGGATGCTCCGAACCAGGCGGCACATCTTCAGACGTCAGCAAATCAAAGCTGACAGCTGCCGCTGGCCGAGATGCTTGAGGTTCGGGTGGGTGCATGTCTCACCGCCGTTATATAACACGAACAAGGAGCGCAACATGCAAACAACACTCTGGGTGTAACTTTAACTGGATAGCCTGCGCTTTTTAACGCTTGGACCTGGACTTTAATAACTGTAAAGACACCGGCAGCCCTGTTTCTGCAATACACTCAAAATAGTGTGAATAGAGACTGTGCATCTTCTGCCTTACAGCAACCTTTCAATAACAGTCGCTATTCAGTGTCGCATTTTTCTATGCAATGCAAACACTTGCTTATAGCTTGCTGAAAGGGACAGTTCATCCCAAACTCAAATACTATTGTTTTGGTGTGAGTTGCCGAGTGTTGGAGATATCGGCCGTAGAGATGTCTGCCTTCTCTCCACTATAATTAAACTAGATGGCTTCCATTTGAAAAACTCAACAGTAATGTCTCTTTCCAGGAATCAGGACTGAAAATAATCCACAGGTGTTGTTGTGAGCAGTTTCGTGCAGTAACAGTTTTCTTTCTACGAACTGCGCCACTACACAAAGGAAAGCGTGGATCTACTCACAGACAAGAGGCTTGTGCTTTTGACAGCATGTTACGTAAACATTAATGGCGTCCTCTTGAACTGAGCTGAAATCAGTGTCCGAAATGAACTTTTTGACTCACCAGACAAGGTGACTGGTAAATAAAACCAATCACCAGCATATTTTTTAGTGGCTAAAGTAACAAACTGCCGTTTTGTGTCACATATACATTTGTTTCGGTGCATTTCATTGAGATAAAAAAGTATCATGTTGAATATAAACTTAAAGAAAAGGCCAGAGCAAAAGTTAAAGCTAAATTATTTTAATGTATCGATACACTCATCACCACAGGCTCAGCATGTATATAGGTTTTCCAGGTAAGCAGTGACTTAGTGGATATGTCTAGGGCTTTTAATGTGACAGGTGAGAATGGAAGAAGTGAAGCTGACAGTGTTGGAGGCAATAAAGAGTTTGCCATCTTGGTTCAACCTACAAAACCTCCAGCATGGACACGACTCAACCCCATGCTACACGTTAGCCTGATGGTAGCTAGCAGCACACTGTCAGCAAGTGAGCGCTAAACAATCAGTTTCTTTGCGCACATCTTGAGAGTGTGTGTGTGTGCATGAAACGCCGACCATGATAGCAAAGAAGCAGGGCACAGTAAATGACACCAAAATGTGGTACAAATTCTCAACTTTTTTATTAGGAAGGAAAAATGAACTTAAGGCACTCTACATCGAGCAGGAACAAATGCGTTTGAATGAAGTTAAAAAGCCTTTATTAAAACAACATGGCTGCCTCCATTAAAACACTGACCGGTTTCGACTCGAAGGTCTTCATCAGGGTGCATAAGGGTGCTAGGAGAACGAGGTAGGAGTAGTAGTTTTTTATTAAATGATGATTTTTGTACAAATATTTACCCACCAAATGGAAAATCTACCTGCATGTGGCGCTTGGTGGGTGTTAATTTGGGCTGTAGCATTAGCTAGCTCAGTGATGCTAGGTGAGTTAGCAGTAGATGCACGCTTCAGTCTGTGTGGTGATATTGTTTCCCGGGTGTAGTTTGATAGAAAGAAAATAGTTCCTACATGAAACTGCTCACAACAAGGTCTGTGGATTATGTTGAGTAACCAGGTCATGACTTCTGGAAAGAGACAGTGATGTTGAGTTTTCACATGTATTTTTTTGGCACTTTGAGCATCACAAGCTGAGTGCCATCTCGTTCCATAGAGCGGGGCAGGCCAGCTCACCTTTATTAGCGAGCCGACGAGCACCCCTCTGACCCGGGGCCAGTTAACACGTCTGTATGTGGCCTCTCACCATAGGGAAGGGCCTTTCATCATCTCAAGAATGCCCAGGCCCCAAAATAGAAAGACTCAACTTTTCGGTTTTGAATCATCACATGAGTGCTCACAACACAGCTGGATCACTTTTCTATATTATGTAAGTTTTCAGCAGGCAGGCGAGTGAAAAACAGCAGGTGACTGACACTCAATGAGAACTCAGAGTCTATTTGACAACATACTCATACATGCATGAAGGACACACAGACGCCCCTCACAGCTATGCTGCCATTTAAATGCTTAACATATCAGGGGCCAGATGCACAACGATGTGTATGCACAAAAAACATGCAAACACATTTTCCCACACATTAACTGGTATTTAAAAAGGAGGAATGTGAAGTGAGAATGTGTGCACGTGACGCAGGCTTCAGGCCAGGTGTACACATGGTTTTAGCTGATAGCTGCAGGTGATATGATAAGGGTGAGATTAAATATAAATTGGTGTTTGCCCATTTCACTGATTGTGTTGTTTAGTCTACAGTGTTCTGTAAATCTGTAAATGAAAGCCGCACTTATAAAGTTAATTTTTATGCATTTGGCCCCAAAACTATGTCTGGATATGATTAACTTCAACACCTGAAGCTTCTTCACAAAATTATTATCCTCTATTTTTATTATTGGCTGATCATCTTGGCTAACTCTGTAACTGGTGCATTTACAGCAGTGTTTATTAATGAGCACTTTCCCTGTTAAATCACCCACTGAATAAAGCTCAGTGCCCATGTTCAGAAATAGCACTGCCAAATATTGGTAGCGACACAAAAATCCAGCACTGGCCTGTCTCCACTTCTTCTTTCTTTCTGCATTAACAATACATAACTTCCTGACAGAGGCTGTGTTAGCTACAGTGCATTACCAGAGGTTAAATTCACTTGAGACACATTTTTATGTTGAGTGACAAGGACAGTCAAGTTCAAGATGTCTTTAATACTGCACCTTGTCTGTTGATCTCATTCTGCAGCAGCTCTTCCATCGCCTCCTCTTCGGCGATGTCCAGCGGTGTCTCACCCTCGCTGTTCACAACTCCTACACTGGCACCCTGGCTGATGAGATACCTGCAACCACAACACATTTTAGGTTTAAGCCAGGATGGTTACAGTCTAGCTGATTTTTTGTGCTGAAAAGTTTCAGGTCAAACTCTAGCCTCTGACGGGGTGAAAAGGAAAGGAGGTAGAGGCAACTGTCACTTTAAACTGGTTGACACGACTACACCACAGTCTGCAACTCCTGTGTTGCCAGTCATGTCTTCACAACACGTCAACAATAACACTGATACTGAATGTATTAATCATTACAATAAAATCCATAATTATCTGGTGCAAAATCTTAAACATGTTGCTGTTTGGTCGCTGCTTAAAATCCTCAATAAGAAATGTGTATATGTATATTCTTAAAAGAATAATAAAAATAATAAAATTAAATAAAATTAAATTAATTTTAAATTAATAAAACAAATTAAATTAGGAGGAAAAGGTGTCCATACAGACAAGATAATTTTTGTTATTTGGTGCTACATAAATAAAACTGACTTGTCTAGTAACATACGAGTCTTTTACTGGTGTTCAGCACACCCTGAAGTTACAGCACATGTGATATGACAAAGGTAAATAGCCATGTTCCATGTTCAAATAAGTAATATGCTAAAGGAACCTAAGTCATGTGGTGTGTTTAAACTGCAGAGGGTCTGTGCAAACACAGTGAGCACAGTGAGCACAGTGAGCACAGTGAACACAGTGAACACAGTGAACACAGTGAACACAGTGAACACGCCACACCTGAAAAATAAAGAAAAAGAGGCGTCTGAATGAGGAGTGGCACAAAACCAGGGCATGGATGTTTACTACTCTCCAGGTTTGACAGTAAACTACTGTCCCCTTTGTATTGCAGTACGTAACTGCAACTACAGATGCAATCCCAGCATTCATTGCTGAGTGTCATCTAGTTGCATTATCTTGGAGAGAAGGCAGACATCTCTTAGGCTGATATCTCCAACACTCTGCATCTCACACCAAAAGTATCCAGACTGATCAACAGCACTACAGGTAAGAGGAAAATTATGTGATTTTTATTTTAGGGTGAACTGTCCCTTTAAGGCATAAAACCACAACTCCATAAATAATAACATATAACCAAAATTTAACACTGTATCAAAGGCTATTTAGTGATTTAACCCTTTCTATCTTTGCCTCCCCCCAACAGAGATTCAAGACCTTTCTACCCACTCAACATCTTGGTTTCAGCTGCTTCCAATTAAAGCTGCGGCGAGACTCAGGCCCTTCTCATTAGGCCAACACGCCACTTGAAACAGTCTCAGCGCTTATGACTTCCCCCCCCAAATGGCAAATGACTGCAGTTACGTTTCAGAGTTTTATACTTCCTTGATTGGACTTTCTATTCTGCCTATTTTAGGTCAGCTTTACTAGGTTTGATGGCTTTGTGGTCCAGAGTCCCACTGTGGGATTCCTAACCAACCCTACCATTAGATGGCTGTGGTGACACCAGGGGCGCAGAGATACAGTCCCGCTCTGGAGTTCCCGTTACTGTGAATGAGGATGCTGGGATTAAAAATGGGTCTACTGAGAGCTCACCGCCCACATCAGGTTGCTGAGTTTCTCTCTGTGACATGACGTCTCCATTAGTCACCCATATCAGGCCAGCCACTTGACCTTTCATTCATTATGCGACAACAAAAAACTTCTTGTTTTCTGTAATTCTAGCCCACTGCTGGTGCTGTGTTCATGAGGCTTACTGGACACAGACTTACTGGGTTTGAGACGCTAACAACACTAAAATATCTCAAAACTGTGTGGACATTTTTACGGACACTGCGAATGTCATTTATCTACATTACTGCTCAAAAAGACTATTTAATTACGACACAAATGCTGGGCAGGAAATTTGCCCAGCAGCTAATTTATACATAATCCACATGTTTATCTTCCTTCCAGTCTGCACTTGTTACTTTTTGGGAAAACATCAACAGTGGGGATAAATCTGAAGCCAGGTTCCTGTAATGTAACACAGAAGTAAAGCAGGTCACAGCACACTCCTAATATGCTGAACAATGAGTACAACTGAGCTCCTTCAGCCCCCTTTAGCCTGTTTAAATATCCTCTGATAACATCTCTGTGTTGTGTTCAGTGCCCTGCGAGCAGTCTCCTTACCTGAAAAGGACTAGGGGCAGGAAAGTACGACAAGTGCAACTCTAGAGCCCGATTCCAGTTATAGAGGCCCGACCTCTCCATACTTGATTACATCACTCTAACAATGTGTGTGTGCGTGTGTGTGTGTGTGTGTGTGTGTGAGCTATCAGATGCGCTGCCGCTCCTGTCAAAATGTGCCGAGGACTGTGTGCCAGTGAAAATGATGGCTTTTGACGTGTTGATTCTGGAATGCTCGCTGAAATGCCCATGGGCATCAATATGGTGTAACGGTGCCAATTGGCAGTCATTGAGGATGTTAAGGGATTCAAAGAAAATTTGTCAGAACAATGTTACGACAGAACCAGTTAAGAGTTCTGCTGTGCAATATTAAAGGGCAAGTTCAGTATTTTTAAACCTTATTTTTATATGTTTTTGTGTCTAAGTGCAAATGGGAGCAACCGTGTTTTTAAATCAGTCCCGTATTGAGCCGGAGCGCTGCAGACGGCAGGACGAAACAGGCTGTAATGTAATAACTAGTGACATGTTAACACCATCCATTTACATCCACTAAAAGTACTTGTTTTTGACAGTGACAGGCTCAGGTTATTATTCTAAGTGCCTGACAACATTATAGAATTGATCCCTACAAAGATAGACCTTTTTATTAATGAGTAAGATCCTTTTTGTTTAACCAGACACAGCCCTGAAATCACCATCGCCAAAGACACCAGACTCCATTTAAATAAACAGTAATTTCGTCATCATAAAACACTTCATTCAAAGTAATCGGAACAAATATGAACTCCCAAAACCTGTCTTGGTTTGTCTTAAAACTGAAAATATCCTACTCTATACATGCTAAAATTATTTACTGGAATTGGCAATGGTCATTTCGGGGCTGTTCCTGCTTAAACAAAAAGGTCTTTCTCGGTAGGGATCCTTTCCATAATATTGTCAGACACTTAGAATAATAATCTGAGCCTATCAGTGAAAACAACAAGCACTTACAGTGGATGTAAATGGACGATGTTAACGTGCCCCCAATGATTACATTACAGCCTGTCTCCCTCAATACTGGACTTTGTTCCCATTGCACTTAGACATACAAACATGGGAAAACAAGGTTGAAAAATACCGAACTTGCCCTTTAATGTTGCACAGTGGCACTCTTACAGGTTCTACTGTTTGTTGTAACATTGTTTTGACAAATTTCCTCGGGATCCCTCAACATCCTCAACGACTGCCAACTGGCACCCGTGTACTGTGCAGATGCCCATGGGCACGTCAGCTAGCATTCCAGAATCAACACGTCAATAGCCATCATTTTCAGTAGCACGCTGGCAGCAGCACATCCGATAACTAAGACACACATTGTTAGAGTAATGTAATCAAATATGGAGAGGTTAGGCAAGTGCACCTGGAATCAAGCTCTAAAGTTGAGCTGTAGTATTTCCATGCCCCGAGTTTTAGCCCTACAAGACCAGGATATTTAGACAGACATTTATTATAACTGTAACAACAACTTTTGAATCTGGTCCAGTATTAATCAAGTGTTGCAGCCAGCAGCTTCCAAACAGGCTACGATGTAACTACTTGGGGCACGTTTTCATGGTCTATTTACGTCCACTACAAGCATTTGTTTTTGCCGCTGACAGGCTCAGATTATTATATTAAGTGTCTGAAAACGTATGGAAAGGACCCCTACAGAGATAGACCTTTTTGTTAAAGGTTAAGATCCCTTTTCTTCCATTTAAACACACAGTAATTTATATATCTAACTAGAAAAGCACTCAGAGAGTGCAGACCTCCGCCAAGTAGGTGATATTCCCTCCCCCTCTGCATCAGATTTTGCAGCCTGCATCACAATTAGGTTATTTGCATCACTATCATTATTAGGTTATATATGCCTTCACCATGGAGACACTGTGGTGTATTTATTTCGTTTTCATTTTTTACCAACACAGAACATAAGATGGGTTTTTTGTATTTTTTACTTTCTTTTTTTCCAACACAGAACATTAAATTCAACTTTAGAATTACAACAATATTTAGCAAGTAGAACAAGACGTACTTTCTGACCACCAGATGGCGCTATATTCACCGTCTTTAGAAATTGGAATTGCTGCTGAGGCTGTCAGACCATAGACTTTTTTATTATTTTATCCACTTCGATTCAACCGATTCCTTGTCCCATTATCCACCTTTCCTGAAAATTTCATCAAAATCTGTTCATAACTTCTTGAGTTATGTTGCAGACAAACAGACCAATGCCGGCAAAAACATAACCTCCTTGGCAGAGGTAATAATTAAGGGTTGAAGGGTTTATTTCAACCAAACCAGAGTTGGTGATTGTTGGAAAAGTTGAACGTAAACCAGAACAGTGAGTTCTATTTTGTTTCTGTCCGCTTTGAATGAAGAATGTTCTTCAATGATAAAATTAATGTTTATTCAAATAGGGTCTGGAGGGTTTGGCATAAAACAAAAAGGTTCTTACTCTATAACAAAAAGGTCTATCTCTGTAGGGATCCTTTCCATAAGTTGTCAGACACTTAAATTAAAAATGTGAGCCTGTCAGTGACAAAAACAAACACTTTTAGTAATGTAAATTGTCAGTGCGAAACATGCTCCAAATCTCGCTCTACACTGGATCAATTTCAAACCTTATTATATACCTTAAATAGTTCCCATCAGTTATTTAGACACAAAAACATGGGAAAATAGGGGCCCAGCTGAAAAATACTGAACTTAACCTTTAAAACCAATTCCAATTTTACTAAACTAAAAAAAAAAAAATATGTATAAAAAAAAAATACATACATACATACATGATTATAACACAGAACTAGACCACACTGAAAGGACATCAATCTTGCTAGCACCAATATAAAGACAGGGGTCACTAATGGAGGGGGTCAGAGAGGTGACAGGACAGTTCAGACCTCAACTGGAGTCAGCCCTGATGTCACTTTGTGCTTGGCAGTCCAAATTAAATTGTATCATACCAGCTGGACTTTCACACAGGAACCTTATTGACACAACCGCTCAAATATTTTCACACAAACTGAACTGAAAGATTTAATGAGGAGAGCTGCAGTCGCACAAAATAAGCTAGACACAGAACAGGATGTGAGGATGAGTTTGCAGAAACCTGATGAAACAGATACTACTGCTTCTCAGAAACAGGCCTCTCAATACTCACTCTGCTATGTCTAGGTATCCGCAGGAGGCTGCAGCGTGGAGGGGGATCCAGCCCTCGTTGTCGGGCTGGTTGATGCTGGCTCCATGCTCCACCAGGAAAGTCACCATGTCAACATTGTCGTCTATGCATGCCTAGGGGAGAAAGAGAGAAGCGGAGTGAGGCCACTGTGAGGAGCAAGGAGCTTGACCTGCCCTGTGTGTCTGTGTTTGCATGCCCACATGCATACGAGCTTATGTCTGTGCTATAGTTACAGCTTGCATAGACGCAGCATTGCACTGTGTCTGATTGCTTGCCACATGCGTCCAGAATTGTTGGGGAATTTTTGGCAGGCAGAGCATTCCCAAAATGCCTCCACATAACAGGAGTGCTTGAAATACCACGTAGCGTAGTACTGCTGATGGAGGCAGTGAGGTGCTGTACCTATATGCTGCTACTTTGTGCAGAAAGGAAGAGACTTCATTTATACTTCTAAAGACTGCTTTTCCAGAAACATTCAGCTCTGCACATTAGCCAAATACTCTCTCACGTATGATTAATCAAATGAAAAGACCACAAACCGTACGTTCTTCTCTTACACTGAGCAGCTGATGAATCACTCAATTAAATCCACATCTGTGGTTGAGCAAAAGTAAAAAGGACTTTATTTGCCAGCACACTTTGGCCCCTGAGTTTGTGTCATTCAATGGAAGAAGATTGAGACACCTTTCCTACTTTCACCGAATACATTCAAAGGGAAGTAAAGACACTGCATTGAGAGCTAGCAGACCACCCACAAATATATCATGCATGTCTGATGATGATTGACACGTCCCACACTGTCACCAAAGAAGCACCCACAACAAAGTGGGCGCTTTTAAGCATTTGGCATTTTCTTTACACCGTCATAATGTCGCTTAACCATACTCTGTGCAGCAAACCTAACCATAAATGACTGATAATGCAGTGAAAACAAAAGTGAAACCCACATAAATGAATAGGAACTGCAAGTGGGAGAGATCTAATTTAAGGTCCTCTGACGGATGAAGTGGGTGATTTTTACCTACTTTATGAAACAGAATTTGCACCAGGGTGGGTGTACTTTCAGTTTCTGTTCAGCCTGGTTAAATGTTAATGAGAAATTAACATTTTTAAAGGTCTGGATTTTATTCTTATGAAACCTACAGTCTCAGTCTAGAAGTCAAACTATGCTACTAGACGTTCTAATCTATAACAAGCATTATTTAATATGGTTGGTGAGCAATAAAATAGCGAAAAATGCTTTATTTGTTTACAACCTTTAGATTTCTGCATGCGAAACCAAGCAAAATGTCTGTCTTTGGGGCCTTCTGGTGGCATAGGTGAAAATCAACCATATAATCACAACATCCCCACTGTTCAGGACCAGCCAACGACCTCAGCTGCACGTCACTGCTCATTGCTCTCTCCAGTCTAAGAGCCCTGACACAACAGGCTGACAGTTTGCCATCGGTCAATATCAGGCTGCAGGTAAGAGTCTGCCGCCCTAGTTTATGCAGCGCATCCTAGACTGTTGGCACTAGTCAGCCTTTGTCGGCTGTTCCCAGCCAATTTAGCATGTTGCTTCGGCGTCCAAGATGGCGGAGGATGTCGGTGAATGGATCAAGATAAAAGGAAGTGAGGAAAGCAAACAAACAACTCAAGTCAAGAGTGTGTGAGATTGCAGAAATCATTCCTAATTGTTTGTGTTGTTAATGTACTAACTCGCTAACTAGCATCTTAAATCCGTCCTGTCGGTCTTCCAGTTTTCCTTTTTGCATGACAAAAAACTACTGCCGCCTGCTCCTGTAGAGGTTATTTCCTCTAACACCGGCACAGCAACGTACATGCTAGTTGGCCTCGGGTTGTAGTCTTTGTGGTATGTTCAAGTGCAACTTTTTGGCCTAAACACAAATGACGCGAGGCGACGCAACAGTCAGCCTTCATCACCTCTAGGTCAGATGTCAGTTTGGTATATCTGGGCCTTAATAAAAGGAGACAATGCCCCGAGAATACTGTTTTTAGGAATGTTCTGCCAAGGACTTGCATCACTGTGAAATGTCTGCTGTGACAACAAGCCTACTCACGACATGCTGTTGAGCAACACTGCTAACCACTAAGCCACTACTGTTCTGTAGGCATCATAATATATACGAAAAAAAATTCTCTCTTGCACGATAAAGTAAATCTATCCATCCATGCATACATTTACATACTTATTATTTTCCAAAAACGCATTTACTGTATTGCATACACAGCCAGGGCATTAGCAGCTTTACTTGGCCACACGCCTGAGAGGGAGCAAGCTGTTAAGGAGGTCATATTTCTGCTCAACATCCAGAACAACGAGCTTGAGGAAAATCAGAAATGGAGAGCCTGCAGTGCACTTTGCATTCAGGACACACAGAGGCCCCGAGGTAAGGAAGAGGACCTGGAATCAGAGACACGTAAACAAGGTGACCCGCAAAGACGTGGTCAGAAAAACAAAGCCCTCAAGTTGGGAGAAAACTTTCTTCCTTAGTACCTCTGCAGCTATGAACTGATCTCTGGTAACACACACTCACTGACTGACAGTTGTAGTTAATCATCAGTAGCAAAACAGACTTTAAACAATTACTCAAAACCAAAAACTTTGCCACCACAATCCCCTCACCCCCATCACTGAACACTGTGCCTGGACTGTCTCGCTCTCCCTCCTGGGGTTGCTATGACAACAACAGCGTTGACAAGGGAAACAGATACACATGAACACACAGCGGCCTCACGTTCAGGGCACACGACTATCTGGCTGGAATCCTTGTCCAAATTTGGGCCGTTTACAACGCCGTACATGGCCAGAGCTGAAGAGCGCCTGCAAAGGCCTCACTGAGCTTATCTGACAGAGTGCGTGTGTGTGTTTGTGTATGATGTGGTGCGGTTGTGTGTGGGAGCTCAGGCACAGAGTTCCTCCAGGTGCAGATGGACTTGTTAACAGACATCTGACTTTGTTACAGGGGCAGACAGCGGAGCAAGACATTACTTCTGACAGTGCTGCAGCTCTCAGTGATACTGAAATGTCACCGTCAAGGGTTTATTAGTTGGACGGCAGCATTATGTGCAAATGATGTGGCGACACCTGTGCCAACACATGGCAGCTTGTGGTCTCCATCCAAGTCCACAATTTGGTAATGGCTTTGGTTCAAATAAAGTATCAGGACACTCAAGACTTCCAAACAGGATGCGTCTAGGTACTCCATCATATTACATTAACTCTACTATCATGTGGTGAAGATAAGCTTCATGTATTTTCATTATGAGGGAACAGGAGGATTGGTGGTTATTTTTCATGGGCATTAACACTCTTTGGTCACATTAAGGTTTTGCTATGTTGCTGTGTCCATCCTCCACAGATTCATCCCATTTGCCTCCTTGTGCAGGGCTCTACGCTTTAACACAGACAAAAATGTTCACGTGATGCTGAGTTTCTCAAACCATGTATTACACTCATATTAATACAGCAGGAAAAAACAGTTTCAGACAGAGAAAGTAGCATGTCAGTTGCTTCATGCTATCACCTCTCTCATGTCTTTATCATGCTCTCCTCTCTAGACATTAAAACATAAAAATCTGTATGTTCTCCCTCCTTTGGCTCCAGTGGATGTTGAAGCGACAGCAAGGTCATGGTAGCAAGTTTTCTAATAAAGCCACCATGTCGTTACAAGCCGTCATGCTAATATTAACATTAGCCGCCTCAGTAAATGCCAAGTGCAATGCCTCATTAGTTGAACCTCGCCGGATTCCTCTTTCCCCTTGTCTCTTTTTCACTCAAAATAAAAACAAATGTGCTTCTTTTTTAGCGATGTCTGCACATATTACGTCTAGCCTATCGTATTGTCAGTATTTTTTGCATTAGTTACCTTTTTCTTACTTGACACCAGCTGCGTCATCACAGAAAACCCTACTGCGATTGGCAGATTGTGATTTGTGGGACTTGTAGTTTTTAAACGGTTAGCAGCACACGGGGAAAAGATTACAGTAGGTTTTCAATCATGCATTTGCACACCGTGCCCGTAAGTGATTTTTCGGGTTAGCACACGTCTTTTTGAGGGGCAAATGCAAGCGAAATACTTGCACTGTCTACCCCTGTTATGAGGTTACAAACAATGACAAGTGGCACCGGTGAGACCTTGTTAAGACTTGACTGAGTGTGCTGAATTGGCAACAAACAAATGCAAGCTATGTTACTCACTGTTTAGCCAAGTGAATCAGTGAGAAGTGCAATTTTCACTACAGCTTTTAGTTTTGTCCTTTGACAAGCCAAGGACCTCAGATATGAGGACACAATGTAAAGCAATGTCAATTATCTAATAAGACGTTATTTCACTAACCTACCATTAACTTGTAGGTTATCTTGTATTGACTGGTCAGTTCTTTTTGCGCAGATACAGAACGAATGCGCGTGTTGGCAGTCAGACAGCCGTCTACTGCTGTGTGTTCAAGTGCAACATTAACATACTACATAAGGTAATGTGAGGTGACACATAGCCTTCAGTCAGTCAGCCTTGACTGAGTCTATCAGACTCCTTTTACATACAAAGCACTGCGCTCACTTTCCTTTTTTGACTGCCGACATGATGTGACCGAAAAAAAAAAGGATTGTTCAAGCTTTCTGCCTCTCATCTAAAAACTGTCCTCAATGCCCTCATCTAAATCCCCCCCCCCTCCCCCCCCCAGTCATTCCCCACACACTTATTATCTCTTCAAAGTCTTCTCCTTCTCCTCTAAGAATGGAAACAAGCCCCTTAAGGCGAACGCAGCGCCGACTGTGACCTCCCTCTTGAGTGCGTCACCAGTCTTCCTCCACTGGCTCCTCCCCACAGCTATTGGAGCCCAACAAAGGTAATCCCTTAATGGCTGTAATTGTGTGTGGCTGACAGGTGCCAGAGTGACAGCCTGCATCAAGAGTGTGCAGAGTGTAGTAGCCAGAGGGACAGGAGAAAGAAGGGAGTCAAGGGAAAGTGTGGTGGTGATGGGACAACACACTCAACCAACAGACATGAATGCACAGAGGTGAGCAGTAAGTGGGGCAGCGTAGACACTTGCAGCCCCACATTCACCTCCGTGGTTCGTATCTACAACGACAAAACGTTTCATATCT